TGTTTCACTTTTTCGAAAAAAATCTTTACATATGATGGAACAAGATAGAAAATAAATGAAACTCAACAATCCAATTGATTTAGCAAAGTTTTGTATACCTGAATTTGTTAGGATTTCAGGTGAGCTTTTTGCAGAGATGATAACCTTGTTTTTTCAAATGGTGAATTCGCGGTCAATGAGCATTATATAAAGATAGTTTAATCTTCAGGATTTGAATTCACATTCAGAGGTTCACCTAAACCCGATATTGTGGCTCTGTTGAGACTCGTACCTCCTCCTTCAGATGGCACGTAATAAGAAATCTCGTCGGAAGTCGAGTTTGCAAGTAAACAATTTATGATTAAGCAAAAATGAATCAGTAACCAGTTTGAAGAAAACATTGAAAAATAATCAAGAATAAATTTGGTCTTGAAAGCGAATGCGAAGAAGGTAGAAAAACAAGATAGTACCAAAGCATGAGATCATGCACCTTCAACCAATCTAGAATAGGAGAGGCTCAATGCCTTTATATCAGTCTCCAAAATCAGTTTTGTGAGCTTTGATGTAGCGTTGATCGGTTCAAGAATGTACTAATGTAATTCCTCCACAGGTTTATGAACATTCAATGTCTGAGATATCTATATTTCCAATTGGAGAAATGCATAGGGAGTCAGAAGTGGTGAGCGAAGGGGGTTAGCTAAGGTAATCAAAGTTGCATAGCGGATGATTTTCGAGACTTTGCAGCTGTTGAGGTTTACTCCTGACTGAATTATAAAGTGAAGTTGAAGCCTATGGGGGCCTGGTGCGACTGATCATCAAACAATGGATTTTCAATTTGAAGTTTCTAGTATAGCAACTGTCTGTCTAAGATTTTTCTCAAGGGCTGGATCAAACTGGAAGAATCAAGACTAACACATGAGTTCAATGAGGCTTCGTGAGGACTCGGAGTATATTGAACGCGCTTCTCGTAAGTTGCCTCATGATGAGCGCAATTCCTTTAGATACACACAGAAAGAATCTAACTTGAATACTGTTTAAGTTTGCACTTTGAACTCACAGTCTATGTGTAGGCCTTTTGTAAGTAGTCAAGATCATCGGATACAAGTTGAAATATATCATCGCCATCAGATGACCTTTCATTAGGAATCTATGTATTCACCTTGATTTGAAGCTTTATGCGTAAACCGGGCTCTCCTCACACTGGGCTAGTGAAAAATGAAGGATTTGTGTTTACATGTTATCACTACATAGATACTCCCCTAAACTGTGCTTCTAATCTGACCTTCCGACCAAGAGTGCAATCTCCAGCCATTATCTAATTATTCCCATCACTCCTAGGCGAGTTTTCAGGATTCCCTGGTCAAGAAAACTTTGTTTAATTGACTTACAGATATCACGAATCAGAAAAGGGGCGGCTCGTCGAGATACGAGAAGCAGTATACTGAGTGGCCCCCCAAGAGGGTTTGGGGCCTGGGCTACATCTGACTTGTTGTCGATTTTTCTTACATACCTATCAGCTCAATACTTACTCTGAGTCTCATCTCTACCGAGCTCGGCCAATGGATTTCTCGGATCAACTTTTTTGACACGCATCAGGTGCGCCAGACCTGTCAAAGTTTCGTGACATCCAGTCCAGTATACCATCTGCACAGTGCTTGCATGTGCATCACCTCAATATCCCTTGCGCACCCGTCAGAAACTAGGCTTACACATTTCTTATCACATATGTAATCAAACCTCACTTCCATGTACTAAGTAAGTATACTTGTTGCTGGGAGCTTAGTTCAGTTTGAGTCATGGTGCACATCATGTATGTAATACATATACTAGCATGGTAAATAGATATCATGTAGCAGTAAACTTCATATCATGGCATCACGGGCACTTGTTATAGCTTGTTTTCTGTGAGACTTGAGGATCAGTGGCCAGGTGCTTTGAACCCCCCAGCACCCAAGCCCATGTGACTGACTCATATAAATCATGTTTAAGGAGCTCTCTTGAGTTTTTCAATGAAAAGGCAGATAAACTGTCCAACTTGGTCAACCAACATGGCTGATCCTTGATGCTTATTGAAGAATCTGGGACAAGCACCTTTAAAAAAGGTTTAGCTAAATATCACCAAATTACATTCTTCCCTCTCTTGAAGTCAGCTCAAAATCACAATGTCTGGCTCTTGTTCTTGTGCCCCCTGTTTTACCAAGCTTAAGGGGAATGGGTCTGTCACTCAGCAAACAATCTCAAACCATCTTGCCAAATATTTACTAGCTCCTTCAAAATTGTAGCACCTACAATTAGGTGGGATACAAGAAAATGGACATTCTTGTTGCTAGTATTAGTTATCTACCTACAATCCATTGCAGGAATATCAAACAAATAAGCCAACACCACTTCTCGAGTTACAATGAAGAGGATTCTTAAAACTTGGATCACAGCCCTTACAAGAAGAAAAAGCTCAAATATCCCGTGGACATCCAAACAGCCTTATCTCTATTGAACATCAATCCAGCAGTTCATTGGACATTGCTTTGTCCTTCCTGTTTTCAACTTCACAATACATCAACCAAGACCAGTGAATACTGTGAAGAGTCTACCATTCAATTCACTTATTGAAATAATGGCATAAGATCTGATTGAAGCCATAGATCCATTGCTTGTCTCAATCTCTTGTACATGAAGCAGGAAATTCACCACCAGCGCATGGTGGCATGAAAATGTTGAATATAATCATTATCAACCTTCAAGTTGCCATCAATAACAGTGATCTTGCACTAATGTGGGTTTCAGAGGCGGCATTATTACCTGGAGGTCCATCACAAGTTTTGAAAAATCCCTCAACCAAATTTTGCTAATAGTAAGATGGAGGATTGGGTACTGGCTCACTATCAGTCTTGCACTTCATCAAGAAAAGGGCTAATGTGTAGCAGCTGGTCTATTGAGACACAAGTACAGCAATAGTATTTTTCAACATGTAAGAAAAAGACTTACCCAAAACTTGAAGTTGTTACCAATATTCTCCAAGTTAACCTCTTCCAAACCCTGAATGGGGCTGTGTTTCTTTAACTTTGCCAGAGTGATTGACTTTCTGGTAGATCACCTGGTTTTGGGAAGGGAAATAGTTGAAGATTTGCTCTTTACATAGCTAGGGTTGAGTGCAAGTTGCAACATTGTGTAAAGGTTTCTTGATATTTTCAACATCCTCTTTCAATCATCAGGTTTCTTATTCCAGGTATTCAAAGCAAGGTACTGAAATATTGGGAGTAGGATTATTACTAGTGGGGAGATTCAAGGTACAGCTAGAAGCACTTTTGGTGGGCTGCCTATTGCCAGGGTTGCTGGGTGTGGAAGTGGTGTATTTGATATTTGGAAGGACTGGTTTAGTTGATTACAAAAATACATGATGTGAAGAGACAGTTTTTTTTTGAAATGATGGAAGAATTCAGCCAAAAAGTCCAAGTTGGGAAACTCAGGCTTTCTCTGGGTTTTTAGTTTGTATCCCATAATTGTCTATGATTTCACAGTTTTCCATTATTTGTGGTAATTTTTGTTTGATTCATAAGGTTCTGAGCCACAAATTGTCAACAGTGCTTATCATGCAACTCAAATGCTTTGAAGCCTCTTCAAGCTAGGTCATGATGTGAGATTAGAAGACAGAAGAGCAAGTTGATAGTAATTACAATTTGTGGATATTACCATTGGAGTTGACAAACCAATATTTATTGATGACAAAGTTTACAATGATTCTACTTTCAAAGCATGCATCTTGAGGACAAGATTATGTATAATGAAATACTATTGGAAAATTGGACAATGGACTATGTTAATGCACCAACCCAACCCGGTGAACTCGGGTTGGTCCCAGAACCGGGACCGGTTTGGGTTGGTCTCAGAAAGGCTTTGAGGAAAATCAGGCTGACCCGGTCTGGCCTGTCCATAAGGAAACAGGGCAAGTTTTAGTGAAATGATCCTCAATTTCTACAAAAAATTGTATCATTTCTTCAAATTGCCAAAATTGTATGGGCTATTGGTTCCATCCTAGGCGTTTATAAAGGTATCTGAAGCTCAATTAAGGATTTGAGCCTATCTGGTGTCAATCTCGTGGGTGCTTGGTTCTTTCCACAGCTGTCATCAAGTTTGGGCTACCAAACCGGGTTGGCTCGGTTTGAAATTGAGCTGGTCCCGGGCAGGCTGAGAATCGCGGGGTCAGGACCGGGTCGAGGCAATAACTACATACCCTACTATGTCCTAGGGTCACCTAAGCGGACCTAGGGTTGGGGGGTCTGAAAGCGCAATCCTTAACTTTAAACTTGACCAATGCCCACCGGAGCCCGCGGTATCTGCAAGCCAACTGCCTCACCATTCTTCTAACCAAGAACCACCCTTCAGCAATATTTCTCTCCTCATGGGCAGCCAGTGATAAATTGCTGCTCAGTGAAGTGATGATGTCAAACCAATATCTCTGATCAAATCACCCCCTGGATGATCACCTGGGCTTTCTGGGGAGGTTTCACTCTCATATTCGTCATCATCCTTTCTATTTGTCTTAACACTCATTAAGTCATGTGTGACGATGAGCATCTGGGCAAGTGCGAAGCTTGTTGCGGCCTCTTTTTTGCAGTCCCTGCGCCTGCACGGTGACGTCATGAGTATTTGACGTATGGGATTTTTGCACTGCACATGACCCGATTGCGAAGAACTTCAGTTCAACAAGGTAGGAACCTGTTGCAATGTAACGGTGGGGATCATATGTATTTGTTGGCTTCAAAAAATTTCAAAGTATGGCATCCTTTACATTGGATGGATGTCAACTGTGTTAAGCTCCTACATAGCTGAGACTGCGTGCAAAAAATGACTCTGAACGTGTTCCAGCAAGGTGCTTGATTCGGAAAAACCCGTCAAAAATCTACACTTCGGATTTTTCGCCATCTTGACCCTCAGATGTCATCTTCCTCCCTTTCTATTTTCTAATTCTCCGATTTGGGGACACTAGGCTCCAGATTCTTTGATCAAAATCATTCCAAGAGATGAACATACGCATTTACTATCATTTGGCATGCCTCAGCCTGTGCAGTGCCACGATTTTCCATGGTCACTCTTCAGATACTAATGATTTTACTAGGCCATTGTTGTCGCAAGCCATTAATGAAGATTGGCTAGGATTATCTTTGGGGAATGAGATTACTGAGGCTAGGCAGGAAGGTATCAGCAAATGTTCTAGCAGCCCCGACTCTTCCATACATCTGAGTCGTACCTATGGGTTCCTCAATGACGAGGAAAGAGCTGTAACACAGAAGTGTGCAATTTTGAAAAGGATAAGGTACAATGCTTCACAATGGTGGAAGAACAACCTCAATCTTTTTTCAAGGATGTACACATCCGATCATCACTCGATATACTTTGATCTTGTCGAAAGCGTGATTCGACAATCAAACAACCAATTCATGGTGTCCCTCGCCAAGAACATGCGAAATTTTCAATTTGACCTTCTCTCAAATACGATGTTTCGGAGCTCGACAAACATCAACGAAAATATCATGATCTACTCAATCTATCTGGCTCTTGCTGCGCTCGAGGATAGTGCACTGTTGGCAAAAGAAAGATACTGGGTACTTGGGATCCTCGAATGTATAAAATGCAACGCTCGCAAAATCTCAAAAGACTCCATTTATAATTTACATAACAAGGACAGAATTTCGCGAGGGGAGTTGGAACTATACCTGATCGAGGGTGTGTCTTCAGAGTGTTTCTATTACTATGCAACTCAGGCCGTATTCAAGCTGTCATATTCATGATTTCCCTCCAATAAATTTAACAGGCAAGATTAAGGCCGAGAAAGTCAAAGAACTTTGGGAATATCCTGAAGCGGAAGATATAGACGATGGTAAATGCTTGGAACCGTCGAACCACCGTTCATATTACCGCTAACAAAATGAATTTCCTCTGTAGATATGAGGGAAGTCTTGAAAAGAGTTGAATTGTTGAACAAAATGTTTGTCGAGTCCGAGACGACCTCGGAAGCACCAATAGTAGCAGAATTCAAGAACGTTTACGATCAATTGCTAGTGTCTAAGCTCCCACTCAAGCGGCAACAAATTGCATCAATGGTCAAGAATATCAAGAGATTGATTGTTGAAAGTGATGTTCCACCCAAGCAAAAGGCTCTTATACATGAGCTTTGTTGGCATCTTCATACACATAGCAAGACTTTTGGAAAGAATTTGGAGCATATGATACTTATTGACGAAGAATTCCAGGATTGTTTTCACAAAATTCGTGCCAAGGAGAGTTTGAATTGGATCATAAGAAGCTATGATTCGAACACCAGAATGAGGAAGATTCTTCTACCTTTTGCCAAATCAGACACTATCACCGCCGACCAACTCCAACTTATATTGATACAATCTCGAAATTATCTCTTCAATGACTCAGAAAGATGCAAAATATTTGAGGCTGTGGTAGCCGCAAGCACATTGAACAATGGATTGTTTGAGAATATTTCAACGAAGCTCTCTAAGCATGCACAATTGCCGTGGGAAGTTGTAGAACTTGCATCTCGTTTTGACGTAGACCCAGATTTCCCCGGAGCGGCCACTTTGGATTTTGAATACCTGATCTTCTTGAAACGTATGTACTTCATTGTCAAATGGCTGAAATAGCACCACATACTATGCGAATACTGAGCATTTTCCCTATCCAAACACATCATATAGACCCAGGATTACTTGATGCCGCTCAAAGGGCACGCTATGTCGAGGTCCTGTATGAAAGTAAAAATAGAAGACTCACAATGGCTGAGAGGCTTATGAGCAGTTTGTCATGGATCAAAAATTCAAAAAATGAAACCAGCTCCTGCAAAGCATTTGATGCGATGATGTTACAAATCTCCAATCAATATGAATCAGATAGAAAATCTCATGTATTAAACTTGGAATCTCTACGTCATATCTTCAAGACCGCACAAAGGCGGATTGGAAATAAGCTGATAAAACGTATCCAAACCGATAAGATCTTGGCAGATCATTTGAAAGAAGTTTCCAATGATATTCTCCTTGGGATCGTAAAAACAAGCGGAGTTTCTGAGGGTCGTGTTAAAAATTTCGCTGAATGGTTAATGAGCGTGAGTATGTCTTCTTATCTTGAACTGTTTGGGGGATTTTAACGATCTTGATATAACCCAACTTTCGACAGATCATTGGGTATCATTACCCTTCTCCTGAATACCATATGCGCCCCATGAAGTCAATAGAGCGATGGTATAGTATTGGGAAATATTAGTTACAAGTGATGCAACTTTGAAGATAAGGAGAGTCAATGGTGGGAAGAGTACTTGTGAAGCTGGATGGTTGGCTGAGCTTAATTAAGCCCCTCTTCCTATTGGTGGGCTGACATTCTGTACTACGAGGTAGCAGTCAAATCGACATTTAGAAAGAAGTTCAGCTGGAGCCTGGAACAGAACAAATCAGCCGTTGTTCCCTTGATCAATCTCTTTGTACCCGAAGCACAAAAATCTGAAATCGTGTTCTCCTGTGATAATAGTGCATGTTTGAAATGATACAACGCATAGACAATTCAGAAAACCCCTTCACAATGACCAGACTATTTACTACTTAGGAAACTTGTTCCGATCATAGGCAATACTCCCTATTTCCAGATCTATCATCTACCAAACATTGCATCGCTGCCGACAATATACCCCAGGATCAAGGATCCAAAGATTCCGGGGGTACAGGCTAACTCGGACACAGCCTTTGAGTTACTGGTCCAATCCTAGAAGCCTTAGATCAACTATTTGCATTGGACATCAATTGGTGAATTCCGGGCGTTGGTAAAAACGGTGACATGTGTTCAAGCGACCAAAGGACTCAAAATCTCTTCATCTCTCAAATTGTTTGAAAAGAAGAACCACATTGCATTCATCATGATGAGTTAAAAAAATCTAAGAACAGTTGAATGATCTATAGATATCGAGATATAAATGACCAAGAAAAAGTAGGTCATACAAGGTAGTACATGTCTAAAGTTAAGGTCATAGAAAATATATAAACGAAAAAATATAAACAATTAATATGATTCAAGCAATTCTTGAAATTGAAAAGGATAAAAGAACCCGGTATGTGTGTTTCAAGATCTTAAATAATTTTCAAATGAAATAGAGAGAAAAAAAACAAATTAGAAAATATGTTCAATGAAACGTTAAGGAATTTGGTTAGTAGAAAAGACGATTTACCTATTGTTCTCTATGCGGTGGTGGTCCCAGTGACCGTCAATGTAGCTACCCCATCTTGTATCTTTTTGATCGCATTGGTCATCACACCAGTCCCAGTCTTTTCTTCTACTTCTACAATAATAGGTTCAGGTTTGAAAAATTTGAATAAAGCACTATCTGATTGGATTTCACAATCCGAGTTAGATTTTCTATAATCATTGTTCACAATATTGACCAAAAACCAATTATCCATCACACTCTTGATGAACTTATAACTTTTCAATCTTTCTTCATCTAGACTGCTTTTATATAATTCTGCCCATTGTTGTCCTAATTCAAATGCTTCATCTTTCCATGCCAAGAAACTTACTAATTCTACAATCGTAGGTTGAATGATTTCTTTACCAGGGAAGACCCCCCAAGTCACTGCATTCGGTCCTGCGTTTTGGTTGTTCGTCTTCAATTGACCGGTCTTGGTCACTGCGTAGTAGGTCACATCCGGATCGTTGTCCAATCTTCGTTGCAATGAGTTGAATTGTTCAGGTGAACAAAAGAATTCAAGGTATGCCTGGAAAGAAGCGTATGATAAGTTCTTGTGAGATTTGATAGTCATGTTGATAAAAAAAGAAGCTCTGATAAAACTTACCTTTTGGTAAACGTAACCACCCCTGGGTCCCCATCCATGAACAGGATCACTACTCTTGGCCCCGTCAACCGCAGGCTGACTGTTAATAGTCAAAAAACCTCTCTGATTGATCTTAGCCAAGATATCAGCAATATCAGAGGTTTCAGAAGAAAGAGGAATATCACTCCAAGGTAAATGTTTAACAATTTGAGCTCCACTAAGTTGAGCTCTCATAGGATCACAATAAGCAGCAAAAATCGATGCAAGTTGAGATAAGTTGGTAGGTGGTTTTGAAAGAGCTTTGAGAGATTCGGCAGTTGCTGGATTGATGTTAATGCCATATCCGTCTAATTCTCCATAAGCTGGTGAACGAGAATCTCCCCAACGTCCGTTTGGAAATTCATCCCAAGTTTCAGTTCGTGTTAAGTATGATTTGGTACGATTAGCCCAAAAGATTGGTCGAATAGACTCTGTACGACGTTTTCCAGAGAGAGACTGTTACAAAAAATCGCAAAAGGTTAGAAGATCTTAATCATCAATGAAGGATGAGGAAAAAAACCCCACCAGCCTCCAGGGCAATGGATTAGTGATATCTCTGTATGGACTCATTTCAAGTTCATCTAAAATCATCTTAGTTCCTCTTTCCAAATTCATTGTATAAAAGTGCAAAATCTTGATTCCAAGGTCTGAATCAAGAATTTTTCTACACATATCAGCAATCAAACGAGTTCCGACTTCTCTAACTGCTTGATCGTCATTTTGAATGGGTTCAAGTTGACTGAGGAAAGATGGAGGAACCGCCGTTTTGTGGAAAGTAGTGATCCGTTTGAATTGAGCCCAACTTTGGATTGGCATGATACCTGGGATTACCGGTACTTTAATACCTGCTGCTCTTAATTCTCTTACCCAATCAATAAACACGTCTACATCGTAAAACATTTGGGTAAAGATAAAGCTAGCTCCTGCATCGATTTTTTCTTTCAAGTACATTGTTTCTTGAAGTCGAGTTAAGTTTGGATCGGTAGGTCCTTCTGGAAAACCAGCAACAGCTATATCGAAATGGTCACCATAGGTAGACCGGATATGTCGCTAGATTTGTAATCAAATAACAATCAAAAACCTGAATGACTACTTCGATATCTATAACAAATGAGAAACTAACAAGTAAGTCAACAGCGTGCGTGAAACCTCCTTCGGTAGCCGTCCATTCGGAACTTCCGCGAGGTGGATCACCACGAAGTGCCAAGATATTTTCACAGCCAGAATCATATGCTTCCTATTGATAAAATCAAAGGTTTCAAACACTGTGAGTATGATACAAAAGGGGCGACAAGTACGTATAAAACGTTAAAGAAAAAAAAACTAACCTTGAGTGCACTATCGATTTGTTCCTGAGGCATATTGGTGCATGTCAAATGCATACAAGTTTCAAGACCGAATTGTCGATGAGCAGTCTTAACAAACTCAGTTGTAAGATTACTTGTCGTTCCACCAGCTCCCCAAGTGATATCAATAAAAATTGGTCCTAATTGTGACATTCTTTCGATTCGATCGTACAAATTGGCAACACCCTACATATCATGTATCAAGGCAATTATCAGGGTTGGATTTCTGTTGGATTGGCAATAAATTAGACTTACATTGTCGGTTTTAGGTGGAAAGTATTCGAATGACCAGGACACCCTTCCTTCGGCTTCGGCTATCCAGAGTAACACACGATCCAGGATTTCATTAGCTTATGATAAAGTACTCCGAGTACACAGCGTTCTACTCACCAGCAGCTAGTTTCTGTGAAATTTTCATAATTTGAGATTTGAAAGGACAAGTTTGAGGAAGAAGATGAAAGTTTTGATTAAAGTGATTTGTGAATATGGGATGTTGAGAAAGATTTTTCCAAGATTCGAGAGGTCGAAGGTTGAAGTAGTTTGGTTGGTTTTATGTGGTTTTGTTGTTGTTTCAGTTTGTTTGGGTATGCGACCTTGAAACTTGAAAGTGGGGAATTTTTTTTCAATTTGTGCTCAGCCAAATGTCACAGAAACTGGATCGGTAAATACAGTTATGCAATTTTACAAACAGGACTGACAATTTGCAAAACATTCCGCTTGTCACTTCCTGATCAGATAATCTCAGTTAAACAGGTCAGTCAACATCAACCTCCACAACTGTTACTTTCAGTGTGGCATTGGTGATGAAATGATGACTACAATATCCAAACGAGTCTGATGAGTGATGACTTGGTTGAATTGAACCAAACAAGTCAGAAATCGGCATTGGACTGATGTTTCTCCGGCATGGAAATCTCGAATCTAGATATTAACTTGGTGTGACGATGAAGACAACCGCCTTGTCAACGGACGTACATACTCTCGGTTTCAATCAGCAGGACCTAAGCGCAAGGCTATCAATGTCCGACCTGCGTCCTTGCAGTAGACCAAAAAAAACCTCGCCGCCGGGCGCCCATCCACACCCTGAACCAGTGATGACCCATGTATGTGCATATCTTTAGCCTGCATGGTGAAGCCAGTAGGAGAAAACTCGATGTGCTTTCACTGATTTCACACTTTGTGGTACAGGCCGCAAGATCTCTAGTAATGTCCAAATGGATATATAGATGAGAAAGATGAAAAAAATGTAACAAAACAAAGCAGAATTGAAGATTATTCAATAGGACTGTGTATAGGATTTATTTTTTTCTCAAATAGTGAGGTGGAAATGGAATGCACTTTGAAATTCTGAAAAAGTCTCAGACCGCCTGTCATGATGGTGGAATAATTGCTATGATCCGTGTAAGGGCTCGGAGATGCTGGAGACAATGTGTCCTTTAGTCAAGCCGATCGACGCAAAGCTGGCACTTTAGCTGCAGAACAGTTTGTTATTTGTTCAAGAACCAAACATAATGAAACCCACCCCCACAAGATCACAAATGTAAACGAAGACCAGAGAATTTCAAGATTGTAACAAGATAACAATAAGCCCTCATCAAGCGTCTGACGATACAAAAGATTGGAAACACTCAAATTGTCCTTTTCTGAGCTACCACAGGTTACAAATAAAGAGAAACGAGACACAACACTTCATTTGAAATAACCAACAGAAAAGAAATATAGAAAAAGAAATCAATCCTAGAGCATAAGTGATGTTCACTATATATATGGCACCCGTAACAAAGTTCGGAACCTGAAAGCTTTTGCTGGATTCAAACCAGGCTATTAAGTGGGAGAAACAGATTTCAGTGAAAACTCAAGGCCCATAGAGTCAGAGATCACTCACTTACAAGGCTTTCTGGATTGTCGATACTCATTCAAGCAACAGACTCCTCTTCTGCACCATCAAATGCGACCGACCTTCTGAGCACAAAGTTGTTAGGAAGTCCAAAAAACTGTCGATTTTGAAAGTAACCAAATCCGTTGTTATATCTGTATAATGGGTATTGTCCTTGGTAAAGTCGGTTACGAACTATTGAAAGTCCAGGGAAATTGACACTGGTTGGGTATTGTAAAATGTTATTAGGCCCGTATCCAGAAGGTAAGAAGTTTGGTGCAATATTGAATTGTCTTCCATTAAAGTGATAGAAGTAGTTATTATTGTTTCGGTATATAATGTTATTGTTATAAGTGGCTGTACCGAATCTGTTAATGTTGAACAGGTTGGGCTGGAATTGTCTGGTGACCAAGTTTTGGATATTGGCTTGTTCTACAAATCAAACAAAAGTATCGGTCAGATGATAGAAAGAAGGACATGTATAAAAAATCCTTTGACTTACCTTGACCAGCAGTGAAGTGCATGGCAATGAGGAATGCAAAGACAACAAAGTACATTTGTTTAGCAAACATCTTTCAAGACTATTTAGTAGATAGAGTTGTGAAGTAGGCGAGAGTAAGTTAAGATAGGTAAATTCTGATGGATGCGCTGGTGAGCTGAAGAGTTGTGGGTTGAGGTTGATTTGTAGCCATCCATGAGCACACTTTATATATCTTTTTATTTCATGTTGCTGGATTAGCTCTTACCTGAAATCCTCGCCTGAAAGCTCGACATCAACGTGCTCGGAGCCCTCCTTTCCGGCCCGGATGGAGCCACACAGACTCGTTCAACAGAATAATCCTCTACAGGTTCCCACAATCATACATCCAAATTTGTGCTCGGAGCGTCGGTGCGGATGCGGTGCTTCAAGATATCCCTTCACCAAGAAAGCTGTTGTTTGTGAAGTATGGCAGCATGCCAAGACCTCCGTGTTGCTGAGTGAACAGTTGCAAACTTATCGATGAGCCTCTCTTGATCCTGGATCTCTCAGTCTTGACAGGTTAAGCCATCAAAGACTCCTTGTAAAAAGAAGCATATCTTTTTGGAGGGCAGCGGGGGAGTCGGGGGCAGTGCAACCCTGCAACCATTCATTTCGCTTGGCGCACCGAAAATACATCGGGACCCGGGTCCACGACTTCGCGCCGAACAAGGGCAAATGACACACACGGAAGCTGATTCATGCCTGCTCTCTTTGGCCATCCAAGCCAACCACAAGCCAAAATGCCCCTGTTAGATCACAGGGTGTCTTACAGGAATGTACCGCTGTGTGACATTTTTATAACTGTAAGCACCGTGAAGCTTGCATTGATTATCTTTAGTTCAAAAGAAAGGAACCAGACAGTCGTGGTACTGGAATGCAACGCCGAAGATTTTATTTGTAGCCTTCAAAAACATTTCCTATTTCAAAAGGATCGATATCCTCTATTGGTTAGATGTCAATTGAAGAAGTTACTATTTCATCACGCTCTCTTTTCTGTAAGCTTAACTGGCAAGGGGCTTATATAGAGCTTATCATTTCCAGTATGTACAATGTACATGACGCTCATATTTTTTCTAGGCTCCAGGTCCATATGGAGTCAAACATATATACGTTTAGATGATATCACAGTGTCGATTTCATCATCATCAACTCTGGGTGATTCTGTCATAATATTTCTGAGATGCTACATACACCAAACTTGAGGCCTTCATATCAAAACATGTCTGCCCGACTTGGAGCACTTACCACTCAGATTGGGTTTCACTCACAGCTTTGGTTATTGAAGTCCTCTCTTGAATATATACGTTGACAGAAATTGGGTGGAAAACAGTGGCTCTGCAATTCAGCACATGTATATTAAACACACCAAGGCCACATGATCTTGTTAAAAATTGCCCGCGAGAAATGCAAGAGAGATTTCAAGACGAGGTTTGCAGGGAAGGAAAAAAAGAAAGACAAGTATGTGTAGCACACCATGTATTTGAGATGAGGAGCCCACTTCTGTGCTACCAGGAATGCTGAGAATAAGTATTGTATCATGTAGTTTTCAAGCGGTAATAGCTTTGCACAGTTCCGAAGGACATGCTAAATGCCATAGTAGATATGGCCAGGTTCAATCCATCCAAAGCAGCAGTTAGTGATCATTATCAATTAAATTCAAATTATGAACTTAAATGAGCTCTAGATGGTAAAACTTACCTTGGTTCAAATGTCGGCGCTTGCAGTAATAGTCAACCTGAACGCTGTTTTCAAAACGCGAGCAAACTTTGGTTTACGAAACCCAAAAGTTAAAAACAATAGTTTTCAAATACAATCAGCGCTCTGGTGAGTAAAACTTCATTAGGAGTTAAAAAAACTTTGCACTGAATTCTCGAAATTCACAACATCTCAAGATATAAAATTGATCATCTCAGAGACGATAAGGAGCAAATTGACTCAACCATATTGTCTTTCCCCGAGCCCGGGTTGCGTGTCTATTCCGGCAGGGCAATCCCATGATCCATTCGGACCAGTGACCGATACACCGTTCTGGGTAGCGCAGTCATAACAAGCTGTAGAGTTCCATCAAAACAAAAAAGGTAAGCGCTCCGTCTTTTGTATTCACTTTGATTGAAGAAAATAAAATTCTTTCGTACAAGACGGTTTGTTATCTCCCCTTCCGCACCATGAACAAGAATAATACTGCTGGCGCTTCCCATCTTTTTTACCTTTCTTCGATTCAGGAATCTCAGCTGTTACGCACTCTACGAGTTTTTTGAAAAGATATTATTTATTGAGTCAGCTCGCATTGTCCCTGAAAATGCCATTGATTGGCTTTGAAGAAGTGTAAAACTTAATGTCAAAGGGAAACGTTGGACTGACGATATTTCCCCTGAGGGGTAAATGGTAAATGCCACGAGTAGGTGCATTCTATACCGTAAGCATTTACAGAGATCTGTGACCCGAGATCTCCCGCGAGGAGGAACACGAGCGCAAGATAAAGAATGGGGTTCGCTAGTAGCTTCCAAGACATGATTCGCAGAATAAGATGAAGTCTTTGAATTTGAAACGCTTTTAACAAGATTGACAGAAGAGAAAGAGCAACTTGGAGAGGCCGCAAAAACTCAGGAGAGACAGTGGATGATGGGGGCTTCAGTATGCCTCCTTAGCAAAAGCAGCGTTATATATGTAGTAAATACATTTCGACGACCGCTATTCTCGGGCTCAAGCCCCAGAGACACGTGTAAAGGAACTATGCAGCCTTTAGCCAAGAGCTCTTGGTCAATTTAGAAGCGTCAGTGCCGTGAATGGGTGGCGTATTGACCAATGTGAAGGGTCTTCACGAGGCACCGGGTCAAATGTCTTTGAGAGTTTAATCATCAACGCCCCGTACGAGGTGAACAAGGAAAGGCACCTGGGAAGTACACACACCGGTGGGTACACGAGGTGCCTTAGCACTATTCAGCAGAGAAAGTTCATCCGACGTAGGGTGGCACCTCCGGAAGCCTCAGGCTCCATGAAGGAGTAAGGGAATCAGTCCAGTTTACATTTCTACGTGATTCACTTTCATAAGTGCATACCAAAGTCTTCTGAGTCTTTAAACACATTGATCAAAACCTGCATAACAACCAAGTACCCTCCTCCTATCCCTCAAAAAATCAGCACTCACTCACACACACCAAAACAAATCTTTTGCACCACTAACTATATATAAGGGATTGTAAACCAAAAGAAGAAGAAGAAAAGAACAAAACTCATATCTATCCCCATATAAAACTTGAACTTTTCTTAAGCTAAGAGCATCCACTATGGGTGCGTTAACAATGTGATTTAGCGTTAGAATAACGCTAAAATCCAGACAGGTCTACTATGGACCTGTTTTAGACATGCGGTCCGTACGACTGCGTCAAATCTTGCACTCCCCTTGTTCAAATCTACGCAAGCCTACGACTTGATTTATCGTAGACTTTTGGCGCATCAAATCGGTCAACAGCCATCAAATGATCTATCTGTATCCATCCCACTCTGCACTCACCACCTTCAATCAAAATCTTCCCTTGTCCCTCAAAATCACAGCTTGTTGATGGTAGCTGTTTACTCTGAATTTGCTAAAAAAAACGCATTTTGTTTTAAAAAAAAGTGATTCCGTGCGATTGATTTCACCAAGATCGAGCAAGATGTGAGAAAGCTCGATGCTCATTGTCAACACCTGAAGCCATCATTTTGGTTCTTTCTGGCTACCAAGGTAGTCATCATCATAGAAGTGAGCTGGGTGAGGCGTGGTAAGATACTTCAATTCAAGTCTCGACTTTGCCATAGCGTGTATAGTGTTCTAAGAACAGATTATCGTAGTTAAATCCTACGTTACATCATCCCATAGTGGATTTCATGCGGTTAACAACTTAGCTACAACACGCATGATTAAATTTTGCGATCAGGACCGCAAAATTTACGATAAAACACCCTCAACATAGTGGATGCTCTAAGGGCTTTGCCTGATCAAATCCTGCTAATCCTAATTAGCTCAGTGCAGACCAGCTAATGTAAATTTGAAATCCAATTAGCTTAGCTTATGAGCGCTAAATCCTTAGCACTAGCTCAGCAATAAAAAATCACTAAGCTAATGCCATTGCACCACTAAGCACTAACTTAGCTTAGGAAGTTAGCCATCCCACCATTGCTTTCACTTTATCTTTTTCATTTGTTAGTAACATACCCAAACTCTTCATTCCCAATTAATATTTTTACTTGGTAGGCTCCATAAGGTCATATGATTTCAGTTCCTTGATGGAAGCCTGACATTGCAAAGAGTAAAGGAATCAGTCAAGTCTACAGTTCTTGTGCTCCACTTTCATAGGTGTATACCAGAGTTTTCTGAGTCTTCAACCACTTTAATCAAACTATGTATAACAACCAAGTACTCTCCTCTCCCTCCAAAAAACTTCAACACTCACTCACACTCACCTGGATATACCAAAACAAATCTTGGCACCACCAACTATACATACAAGTGTGTAAGCCAAAAGAAGAAATAATTAAACACATATGCCCTAAAACTTGATCTCTTCATTACATGACACAGACTCAGTCATTCTGATACTACTTATTGCTCCCTTTTGAGTAAAAAGTTAATTCTGAGCTTGAACCCCAAGGTTTAACCAGACCAAACCTACAACCTGACTGTATTTCCTTGGATTCCTTCCAGTCAAACTCAAAGGTTTCTAATAAAACCTTAAATAAAACCTCAGGATCTCACTTTATCTTTCCTAAACCAGATCAACAAACCATCTTGATATATAAAACCAGCAAAAAAATGTCATTATATATAATACACAAAGCACCATGTATTTTTTCCAAAAGAAAGAAAAAAACAATCAAAATCAAAATCAAACTAAAATCAAATGAAATCAAATGAAATCAAATCAAAAAATCAAAAAGGGTAAAATCAAAAAACCAAACCACAGTATATAAAAAAATAAAATTCCTGATATTTTTTCCTTCTTCATCAAAAACATATATCCTCAAAAAAAAAGACTCAAAAAAAAATTCTTAAATACATTGGATGTTATATAACATATCTCAAGATTTTTCTAAAAAACACACACACACACACACACACACAAAAAAAAATCAGGTATCTTCTTATTATGAGAGGAAAGGAAAGAAAAGAAAAAAACAGTCTCAAAACTATAACAAAGAGTGAGTATAATTAATAATCCATCAAATCAAATCAAACCAAACCAAACCATAAATTCAAAATAAATTGCACATCAAACCTCTTTCTTCACACAAAACCAAAAGACCAAAGAACCAAAGAACGAAACCTATGATACCAAAACCTGAACAGAAGAAATCATAAATCATAAAAAAACGATCCCAAACCCTCCAGTTCCCAGTACGCACTCCAACCAGCTGAACCTCTCAACCAACCTTTCCCAAGACCTTTCTCAATCTACCCAGACTTTTTTCTCAAGATTACCAAATCAAGTATAAACTTAACCAACAAATCATTAATTTCCAACAAGACCTTTCCATCCTTAACCATCTTAAAAATACATTCGTTTCCCATCAATTTCAATTCCATCTTCTCATTCTCATGTAATCTAAACTGTTTATTAAACTTTCTTGCATTCGTTCTGAGTTGATGTAGTTTAAATCGGATTAATAGATGAGCTCTTAGACTGATCTTCTTGGTTGTGGTTGAGGAATGTGGTGCGGTGGGTGGGTCTTCTGGGTCTGCTATTACTTCTTCTTCTTCTTCTTGGGTTTCTTCTTCCGTTTCAACTTCTTCGGTTTCAACTTCTTCTTCGGTTTCTTCTTCTTGATCAGGATCAGGATGAAGAGTAAGATAAGAAGTAGGATAATAAGTATGAATATGTTCCATAAAGCGTTGAAGGTTCAAGGAGATCTCAAGTGAAGTACTCGTAAAGGACTGATCTTTACTCTTGAGTTTATCCCACTTAATCAAACATCTATGTAGTTTTGATGAATTGTTTTGGAATCGTTTCAAGGTCTCGTTATAATTGTTTAAGGTTTCAATCATCGAATTGAATAGTAAGAGTTGATGAACTTGTTGAAATGTAGATGTTTTAAGTCTGGTTCAAAGAAACCAAAAATGATTTAGATGGGAAACGGATAGAAAAGCAAAGGTGTTGAACGGATGACTTACTTTGATTTGGTTCTTTCTAGAAACCTACGATGTCTATTAGGCTTACGAGGATCCACCAACCTACAAAAAGTGAAAGAACCAAACGAAATCAGTTCAAAAGTCGATCAAGACAAGTTAAAGAAGAAAGGAAAAGACCTACCTCCAAATCGACATCAATTTCTCACGAATCAATAAAGCACAACTCGATCTAGACCGAATCGAATGGTCATCCAAATCAAGAAAAGGTTCTAAACGATTCTGATCATCAGCATGAAGAATATGATTAATAAAATCTTGATCGGTTTGGAATCGATTGATATCATCCTGAGCCTTATAAACCAAAGGTAATTTAGAGTTTGATGAATTAGTTAATTTGATAAACGTTGTTGTTGTTGTTGTTGAACACGAAGGTAAAGGTGATGGAGATGGTGTTGATGATGATGATTTGATTTGATGAAATGAATCGATTGATAGATTAGAATGAATCGGAGTGATTGTAGTTGATGGATGGTTAGCCATTTGATTTGGTTTGATTTTACAAAAGATAATAAGAAAAGTAAAGATTGAAAGATTAAGAAAGTAAAGAAGATTAAAGAGTTTGTTTAAAGACTTGATGATAAAGTGATGGATGGATGGTTAGTATGTATTAATGAATGAAGAAAACCAAATACTAGTCAGTATTGTGTTGATATTTTCACTTTAAAGTTCAATACATTCTCAGCTTTTCTCAATCAATTCGATTTCGATTTGAAACTGTACATACTCTTACATAAACCACTCGGTCTTCCGATCTGTTAAGAAAAATTTATCACTTAACCAGTCAAAAACATCTTAACCTTAAACCTCTATCTCCTTCCATACACACATATCATCATTCGGAATTCCTTTCATCTTCATTCTTCACACACACACACTCTTCATTGGTGGGGGTGGCTAAGACCCCGGAAATCAGGTTCTATGTAGCTGGAAAGCAGGCTCCAGGTGAAGATCACTGTAATGATTTGTCATGTTTACAAAATATATAATCACATGTTGTGAAGGAAACATGGTCTGGAGGAAGAAGGTTGTTAGCGAATATTATTAGATTACTTACGAATAGAATTGTTAGAAACGTGAATCATTAAACTTACAAAGTCCTTAGTATAAAAATATTAAAGCAATCAAATGGGTTGGGCAAATCTCAAGACCAAGTGACTAAATTGCTTGAATGAAATATAAGAACCTACGGGTTGGTAGCGGAAACAAACCAATAAGAAAAATCATGCAAAAAAAAACATAACCAAAAATCTTGCAACACTAACAAAAACATGAACCAAACAAAAAATGGATAATAATATATTATGATAAAAAAGGAAACTAAAAAATAAGAACATAAATTTAAACAACATAAAAACCAATACTATAGAAGACTTTTTATGGGAAAAATTGAAGAGAAAAATAACCAAATAAAGAATGATCCATTGAGAAGTGAGAAAGACACAAAAGACAAAAATAAGGCTATGTTTGGCTGGGTTGTCTTAATTTGATGTACCTGAAAGTTGAGTGCATTTTGTTGCCACAAATGCATTAATGCAATTAAAATCCCAAATTTCAATTTTAGTCAATAATGTGCATTTTAATGCAACTCACGTTTGGAAGTCTTCAACACCAACCTTGGTTTAGGTAAGAAAATTTGACTTGATCTTCAAGGCAAAGTGTGGGGCCTGTGCGACTCTGATGGATTTAGGGGATATTTTGATCTTTCTCAGAAATGATTCAAAAGATTGTGTCCAAATCACACTTTCATCCAAGAAGAAGTCTGAACATCAGTTGTCTCATTTTTTTCTTGTTCTTATAGAGCTGACTGTTTAGAGGTTCAAAAATGTCAACTTCTTTGTGTTCATCTTCAGACAACAATGAAGAGATGGCTAATCCGTGCTTTTATAACAATTGAGACACAGTTTGTCTAGATGAATGAGTTGAGGGAAGTGGGAGAGTGGTATGTTTAAGATCAATGAGCGAGTTGAAAAGGTCAACTTTGGGTGGGATCGAGGTAAACCAAAGCCAATAATGCACCGTTTCAGCGAAATAATCGACTGTAGAGTCAATTATTTTTAAGTGCATTATTGGTGCATTATTGGGTGTTTAAATCGATTAAAATTTTGGATTAAAAGGCTGCCAAACAACTATTTTTTTAATGTAATTTTTGGTTTAATGTGCATTAAAATGCACCAGCCAAACGTAGCCTAAGTAAAATTTTATCAAAACAAAAAAAAATGAAACACAAAAAAATAATGAAGGAGAAGGGTGAGTGGGTTCATCAAATGTAGTAGGTAACCAGGATAAAGGGAACCAACCCATGTGAACACAATGGAAAGGAAATTTTGCAAGGGGGTCAACAGCCTATGTGAGCTACTAGAGTGTTTTGGGCTAGTAAATCACAAAAGAATAGGCTTTGAATAATAAACTTATTTGAAGGTCTAAATAAGTTTGTAAAAGAAGCATTGTCATTAAATCAGCACTGACTTCACTGGAATGACCTCTCAACACAGAATTTTGGTTCTAATCCAAGACTTAATGCAAAACAAAATATCTTCTAGCAGGATGATAAGTAGAAACTACAGTCTAGTCTTGTGCTCAAGCCAACAACACTCTAGTCTACTCTAGAGTTTGTTCATCAAGGGAAATATTACTCTTGAAGTTCTATAAACTCTTAATACAGAGGTACTTCTGTGAATTTAGACTTTCTCAGGTTATTGGATTCCTTTAATAACTTGAGCAGTACTGCAAGGATTGACTCTTGACAAAAATAAAAGTATTCAAAAGAACTTCAACCATCAACAGTTAGATTGATCAATTAGAGAAATGTACAATGTCCAAGAAATGAGGACAAGGACTCTACTGATCTGATTGATGAAGTTTATTGATAATTTTGTTGAATGTAATGGTGATGATGAATTTTCATGAAAATTCTACATGTTCAACTTGTGGTTCAACTTCTATTACATACAATTTTCTTGTATGTAATAATAATTGTTTAATTACAGCCATCTCAACAAATATGGATCCCTTTTGAAGATCTCATTGACACGCAAAACCTTGCCTTTCAAAAGGTTTTTTCTCTCTGCTAATTGGAAGATTACAGAAGAAATTGAACCTGTAATCAAGTTGTTTCTCTGATTTTGCCTGCTATGGAGATGACTTTCTCCTAAAAAGTTGTCAATCTTTCTAGGAAGAGCTGTATTTATTTTACACAAGTGTAACTTCTGTGATACACATGTGATGTTCACTCATGGATGTCTATTGCTTGTGAAATAGTCTCTGCCTTAGTTTACATATGTGTACATGTCTAATTGCATATGTTTACATATGTAATTTGATATGGAATTGGCTAATGAGACTGAGCCATGAGTTGTTATTATTCTCTAAGTAGGAGCAAAGGTGAGAAAAAAAGGCTGACCTACCAGCAAAATATGTACATTTTCAGGTTTTTTTAGAGTCAAGATCTGATTTCCAGAATTTGGACCTATGCACTGCCATGAAAGGACATGTATATTTCATTTCTCTTGAAAAAGTCTTTTCTAAACATGCCAGCACCAGAGGAATTGAAACCTGCTTCAGTGAAATCTGAAATCTGAAATCCTCAAGCCTTCATGAACCAAGTCCAAGCAAAGCTTGAGTGAGTATCTCAGGCTGTGTTACTCTTTATGTCTTATCATCTTTTGCACATCTTGACTTGTAGGTCTTGTTTAAATAGAAGAGTATCACATTACCTTGCTACTTTCTAATCCCATGAAGACCATAGGTATTTTCATTTACCCAGACAACTTCAAGCACCAAACACTGATTACAAGGACGTCCTGAGAATACCAAGCTCTGTTGTATCAGACTATAGTACTTGAGAGTGATAGGTCAAATTAATCAGACCAAACAAGATAAGAACCATTTCCTAAGCCCTTCAATCCTCTCCAAATGTGTTTGTATACCTTATATCTTCAACATTGGTTTCCTTTGACTAATATACCGTTTTTATCATCTGTAATTACCTAGTCTAATTCTTAAAACTTCTTGTAATTCTCATTTCACTCTTGAAACATCCCAACAAAATCAACTTTTTACAGACCTTAATGATCCCAACAAAAAGTCAAGTTTTCAAACATGAGTGATACCAATCAAATTCAAATTGTAAAATCCATCTTAACAACTGTAAGGTCAAGATGAATTGCTTAAGCTACCAAAAAAAAGATCATAAGATCTCTGAATAACACCATATTATCATATCATTCACCGTGTCCGGGTAGCATTTGCCGCATGACGTGCTTTTCTGCCTCAAAGGGAGTCGGTGTGCACTTGTCAACAAGCAAACCCTACACAGACACAATGATTATATGTTGGACATTGAGAAAACCTAATCCACTGAAAATCAAAGAAATTCAAAGTGTTGGCTTGCTAAAATCCAGTTCAAAACTGAAATTAGAATTCAATTTTGATTTTTTTTGAATGTCTGAGATACAATGGAATGGCAGCAAGGCCACGATACAGAGATGAGGGATGACTGATTTTTGAAATGCAGCAATACATTAATACTCCTCAACACATACTGAAACATATGAAAGCTGCAAAACCACAAAGAACAACCCAACCTGAGAAACTCAGGCTCGCTTTATGAGGCTCATAAGTTACATTGTCCTTCCAAATTCTCTGAAAAAAAAAACCAAAAAATATAAACTTCCAAAACAATATAAATATCTATAAGTTTTACACTCACTTTTGATTTTCCTAATCCAATTTCTTTAACATTTTCCAAAAAAAACTTGGCATGAAATGCAATTGATTTCCAAGAATTTCATTTGTTGTGTATATATATACCCCAAATCCATTTCTCAAAAAAACATCAACCATGAACTTCCCAAGACTTCCAATCCAATTCTCATCCAATTCACCACCCATTCCAATCCGACCCAAGCACCCCCTCTTCTTTCCAGACCCCCAATCACATCCTCAACAAACACCTCCACATAACCTGTTCTTTTCCCTCACTCATCACTCCACCAAAATCACCCAAACACTCATCCGAAAACCTCCTGAGCTCATCTTTCCCAACCCCAAACCTTTTCACAAGAGTTCCGATTTCCCTTTCCACAATGCCCACGACTTCTTCTTCCCTGATCCCTTCTTTTCCTCTAGTAATATACAGAAACTTCAAACGAATGATTTGTTTGATCGTTTCTGATCGGGTCGTTCTACAACTCCAATCGTTTCTTGTATCATTTATTGTCGGTTTAATCACTTGAAGTTTTATAGTTTCAGGTTCGAATGAATGTATTACAAGTTGAATAGATGGTTTGGTTTGGTTAAAGGCTTCAATACCTAACCCGAATGAATCTTTTAAAAGCTTTTCATTCGTTTGATTCGATAAATAGTACAGAAGTAAATGGGTTTCTGATTGGCCTAATAAACTAGAAGAGATCATTGAAGGGATTTGATAAGATAAAAGCTTGGGAATTGGTTTGATTCGATATCCTTGCAAGTGTTTTAAGATCAGTTCATGAAAGCTTTGAGTTTTTTCACATAAAGTTTGTAAGAGTTCTAAATTGGATGAAGTTAATGAATTTAATGCAAATAAAACTAAACTATAAGTAGTACAGAGTGTTGAATGATTATTAGTGAAATTAATGAATTCTAAAAAACTTGGATGTAAGTTTTGTTTTTCATTGAAAGAGTCTTCAAGTTTGTTTAATTGTTCCATGATGACTTTCAACCGATCTTCAAACCCATTCAGTCCTACCAGATTCGAATTAGACAAAGAACTTTCAATAATCGATAATTCAACACTGATTAAACAATTCGAAACTTCAAGATCTTGGTCTATCGGAATGGGTGATGATTTAGAAAGTTGTCCGATTCTTAAAAGTTCAGATCCGTATTGATTTAGTTCTGGAATGATTTGATCAAGTCGGTTTGGTAAAAGTGATAAAAGCACATCTATTAATGAAACCAATGTATCAATCATAACCGAAGGAGTGACCACAAAGCTTTCTTTGACCGAAACCTGATTTCCATCCTCATCATCTACATCAAGTACCTCTTCTTCTTCTCCAGAATGATCATCGATGTCTGAACCCGATTGAATTCCTTTAGACTGTTCCATAAACATTAAACTTTGTAACTCGAAAGCCTTCATAAACAAACCCCTAGCTTCATCCCAAACCAGCTCACTTTTCTCTTCATCACCTCCATCCGAACCAATAGAAGTAGAAAGAAGTTCACCTAAACTATTTAAACTTGAACCTAAATTAAACCAAGCATCAACCAACTCCGATCGATCTCCAAAACTTTCCATAACCCTCACAGCTTCTCTTCCAAACCCAACCCCTTCGACCAAACTTCTCAAACACTCATCATGGGTTTCACAAAACGTGAGTCCAAAATGTACCAAAAGTTTTCCACAATTGAAAAAACTATCGAATAATCTTTTAAGGTTTGGGGTATGGAGAGTTGATTCTAATTGGATAACTTTTTGGTATGTTGTGATGGATTGAATGTAATGTGATTTTGATTTGGGTCCGAATTGGTAACGTTCGGCTTGTTCTTCTTGTGAGATTGAATGATCAAATAGGTCTTCTGAACTTAATGTATCTGAAAGTTTTGGGTTTTGTTGCTTTTCGGATTTCTTTTTTCTTAGTTTTGATTTTAGGTTGGGAGTGGGTGTCATTTTTGGTCTGGGTGGTACTGGGGGAAGAGGAAGAGAAGTTTTGATGAAGGATGGCTTTGACTTTACACTGTGACTGGAGTGATGTGATGGTGATACAGGTAACAGTGATGAGATTAAGTTATGGTTACATAAGTTGACGCGACTGATTAGTTAAGTTCATTCAGTGACACCGCGACTCAACTTCAAACCATCAGAACTATCACTTCAACTTCTCAATCAACTTCTCAACCCTCAATCATGGATAAAGGAAAATCAAAAGCAACAAACGAATCAATCCAATCAGAAACAGAAAAATCTCAAAAAGATAACTTACCATGGTATGTCTATTCCTCTCCATCACCAATACCTCTTAATCCATTCAAACCAAACTATCACCACAAGAATCTAATCAATCGTTTTGGTTGGGGGGTTTAATAGGGTAGAAAAATATAGACCATCAACATTAGAAGAAGTAGTTTCACACAAAGACATAATCTATACAAGTAACGTTTTATCCTCAACAATTCTTTCACCTCCTCGCCCCAAAAAATTATGCAAGAAAGACTAATTTCGTTTCTTTTTCTTTTTTGTTGGAAAATGATTTAAAAAGTTCAAAAATTTATCACTTCAAATAGACTACCACATCTTTTATTTTATGGACCACCAGGTACAGGTAAAACTTCAACTATCTTAGCTATTGCTCGTCAATTATACCAAACTCCTATGAGTTTTAAAAACAATGTTTTAGAAGTTAGTCATTCACCTACACATTCGATTCATCCATTCTAATCTTTCTAATAAGTTTCTGTGGGTGATTGGTCTTTTTGGTAGTTGAATGCAAGTGATGATAGAGGAATCGAGGTGGTTCGTGAACAGATTAAAAACTTTGCTAGTGCAAGAATGGTCTTTAGGTATCACTTCTGCTTCTCATCATCTGAATTGTAAACCAGATGAAGCTGAAATACTATGATCGATTCGGATGTGTGTGTTGTATTAGTTCTGGTTTCAAATTAATCATACTAGATGAAGCCGATCAAATGACCACAACAGCTCAATCAGCCCTACGAAGAGGTCAATCCCGAATCTCTCTTTAAAACCTTTACGAATCCTGACTTTCATTTTCGTTCTTTCTACGGGTTTAGTGATCGAACAATACACCAAAAACGTTAGGTTTTGTATAATTTGTAATTACGTTAATCGGATCAGTCCAGCTATCCAATCAAGATGTACAAAGTTTAGATTCGGTCCATTAGATTTACCAGAAGTAGATCGTAGGGTTGGACAAGTGATTGATTCAGAAAAGTAACTTTCAAAAAACCCTTAAAACCTTTTTGAACGCTTTTGGTGGTTTGGGAATTGATTTTTCTTTTTTGGGGGGGAATTAGTTTGGTCGTTACTGAAGATGGTAGAAAAGCTTTGTTGAACTTGTGTAAAGGTGATATGAGAAGAGTTTTAAATGTAATGCAAGTAAGTCACACAACCTTCATCTAATAAACCCAATTTATCAAGTCTTTTAATGTTTTTTTATGGGGGGATTGAATAGGCATGTCATTCAGGTTATGGAAAAGTAGATGAAGATTCAGTTTACGAATGTACAGGTAGTCCACATCCTAAACAAATTGAAGATATAGTAAAAAGCATGATGAATGAAGAATTCCAAACAAGTTTCAAACGTAAAAAAAACCTTTCCCCTTCCAGAAAAAAAACTCAAAATCGTTTAATTCATTTCTGATTTTTTTTTGGTTTGGGGTTTTTTGGGAGGTTCTAGGAATCCAAGACATCAAAGTGAACTTCGGTCTAGCTCTCCAAGACATAATTTTAGGTATTTACGAGTTTCTCAAAACAGTTGAGTTAGGTAACTTGGCTCAAATTTATCTTTTAGATCAACTTTCTCAAATCGAGTAAGTTTTTCCCCAAAACCCTTTCTTCTTATACTTTTCTTAATTGATGGATTTCTTTTTTTTGGTGGGGGTTTGGTTAGGTATAGACTTTCGACGGGTGGTAGTGAGAAATTACAGTTGTCTGGTTTATTGGGTTGTTTTAAAATAGCTGTGGAACTTAGTGCTAAGAAAAAATAAAATCAAAGTTGGTTGTCTTTTTGGAATGAAAAGCTTGGGGGTTGGGTGTTTGAAGGTTTAGAGATGATTGGGTTTTTTTTCTTCTTTGGTGTGGGTTTGAATCAAGATTTAATGAAGTTTTGGGAGTTTTTTCTGGATGGATCGGATTTATTTTAATGAGTTGAAAAGTTTTAAAAAAATTGATCAAACCCTCCCCCAAAAGAAGGGTTTATTTTATCTGATACATAGTTCCTACTGATTGTATATATCATGATCATATAAAATTTAAGAGAACATTATTGAAAATATGTTAAAGTCTTAAGGGAAAGAAATCGATAACCATACAAAGAATTCTTGGTTGAAAGTTGATAAAAAACCGTTACGTCATTGAACACTAATCAGGAGTTTGAACAACTGTCTACGGATATCATAATGTAAGAAGCCGTGTATATAAAAAGCTCAGATCTCAAGAATTCTGAATTGGGGCCGCAGGTTAATGGGTCAATGAATTGAATTGTTCTTATGTTTTGACCTTTCTTTGCAAGATGAAATGACTTTCTTATCAAAAAATCTGGTCTTAAGGTTTAGGCTTCAATTTCAACATACATATATGCATTTTTTTACTTCTTATTTGTTTATATTTTGAACTTTGTTTGGTATTTTACCTTTAGTCCTTTTATTCTAGCATTTATATAGCTCATACTTTTGTAAATATCCTTGTCTTCTTTATTTCTTCGTCTCTTTAGAGAAATAAGAATTTAATCAATATATTTTATTAACTTATTGAGCTGTTTGTTTTGCTTTTGGTTGGTGCATATTTTGAATTCACTTGGTGAATAGATTGACTACTTCTACATAACACGGTCACCTAATGATTGGTTAATCTATTTTGTCTATTATTCTATGTGCCATAGATTTTAGCAGATGAATTTGATGAGGGAAAGATACATGAAAAGATATGTCTGATTGAGGTGGTGCAATGGGATTCTCCTTTTTGATGAAATGGTGAGGTATGAGTTAAGGTGAGTTTGAGAGAACCAGAGCTTCCAAAACACTCGCTGGGATGGGTCGATCAGGAAACGTGTGATCTTTCACTGACAAGTAACAGACCAGTGACATACCCAAGTATGTATCAAGAATTGACCCGATTTCAACCGACCCGATCGATAGCTATCAATCCAACCCAAACCAAACCAACCAACCAACGAGCATCTAATTAGAAAAGAAAGAAACAAACAATTAACTTTCTATGATGGCTTTCTCAACTAGAATTCCATTTTCAAACATCTTAAAATCTCAAGCATCACGTCATCAACTCACGAGTCATTTACCTCGATTCTCGTCTCGTTCAATTTCCACTAATACTACTTTTTCAAAAGCAGAGGTCAGTTCAAACTTCTTCATTAAACCGAACTTATCAATCGATCATCTTTCGTTAGACAACTTGGAATTCAGTATATATATATGATGATTGAAGAAAGAGAAAACTGATCAAGAGATTTGGTACAATATCTTTTTTTTGGGGGGGGGTTGGTTTAGTCGGTCTTGACTTCAAGGACAGCTGCAGTGGTCTCATCTGTCTTTGCTGCTGGTTCTTTAACATGGTACACTCAGTTATACGGTGTTCCATTTATTTCGGAAGCACAAGTGAGTGATGAACTTGATCGATTGAGTTTCACACAACCAGTTGACCAAACCTTGGATCGGGTTTTAGGCTATGACTGCTGCTGAACACGGACTTCATGCTCCTAGTTATCCTTGGGCTCACAAAGGACCTTTTGAAACCTTTGATCATGCTGCGTACGTATAATCATCACTTGGACGTGGGTTTGGGGAAACTGATTGGAGGTCTTGGTTTTGTTTCCGTCTTTTAGCATTCGTCGTGGGTATCAAGTTTACCGTGAAGTTTGTTCTGCATGCCACTCACTCGATCGGATCGCTTGGAGAAACTTGGTCGGTGTCTCACATACAGTCGATGAAGTCAAAGGTAAGTGATCAAACCCCAATGCAAACATCACTTTCTATCCCTAAGAAGGCTATCACATGAATCCGATCTCAACGATAAGGATTGAACCAAAACACTAATATAACCTTTTGTCAACATTCAATATAGCTATGGCCGGTGAAGTAGAGTACGAAGATGGACCAGATGACGAAGGCAAAAACTTTCAAAGACCAGGAAAACTTTCAGATTATATGCCAAAACCTTATCCGAATGAAGAAGCAGCTAGATCAGCCAATGCAGGAGCCTTACCACCTGATCTAAGTTTGATGGTCAAAGCTCGACACGGTGGTGCTGATTATGTGATGGCTTTGTTAACTGGATATGTGGATCCACCAGCCGGTGTACAGATCAGAGAAGGACTGAATTACAAGTGAGTACTTGTTTTCTTTGCGTCTTATGTTGAACTTCAGATCGCTTATCTTGTTGTGTGGGATCCATCAGTCCTTATTTCCCAGGTGGTGCGATCGGTATGGCTCGAGTCTTGTACGATGGAGTAGTAGAATACCCAGATGGGACTCCAGCCACTACATCTCAATTAGCTAAAGATGTCGTAAGTTTCTTAGCTTGGACGGCTGAACCTGAATTAGATCAAAGAAAGAAGATGGGATTACAATCGGTGATCATCTTGGCTACTTTGACGGCTTTGAGTATTTGGGTCAAGAGGTTTAAATGGGCTGGTATTAAAAGTCGAAAGTTGGTGTACAATCCACCTCCACCTACTACCGGTCCTAAGCATTAGTTAGTGGATTGATGGATTGATGGATGGATGGATAAAAGTTGGATTTGGAAAAAATTAGAGTGTGCAAATTGATGAGATGAGATGTATATGTAATCTCAAAAAGATCTTTGACTAGAAATTATAAAAGGCTTATTTTTTTCCAAAGATAGTTTGATTGATTTTTTTTGAAAGCTTTGAAAGGAAAAATTTCTTTTTTCTTTTGGTTTTTCAATTGATTTTTTTTGTGTGTTGATCTGGTTTTTTTCTATTAGATCTTTTTTTTCCTTTCATCAATGAGATTTTTTTTTGGTAAGAGAAAACTTGAGGAGAAGGGTTAAAGAAGAGGATGGTTTGATGATTCAAGAGAAATTGAATGATCAAGTATAAAAACTTGAGTAAGTATGTATTGAAACCAATTTGGCAGGTTGGAAGGCTTTGAGATTGCTTTGGTATTTACTCCTTTGGGCTTTTTCAAGCGAGATGATTCTAGCTGATTCTGTTGAGGATTGTATACAGAGTCGTACCGAGATTCATTATTTGTTCGAGCTGCATGCTTCTGGTAGAGCAACAAGATCTGATACTCATTCATCAAATATCCTGCTCAATTTTTTCAAATTTTTAAAACGCACTGAGAAAAACCCACCTGAGAAGCAGATTCATTTTTTGTAAAAAAAAAATCTGAAGCATTTCATGATCCATTCTTTGGGCGCAAACGGCTTATAATACGGTAATTTTACAATCTTTGCCATTGTGAAGTGTCAAGGATCTTGAGAATAACATAGATATGATTTCGAAGGAAATAGTTCAGAGTCAAGATGTATAATTACGATCAAGTCAATTGAGGACTTTGACGGTTAACAAGCACCAAGCTCTTCCTGGGCCTGCAACCGGTGCTACGTAGCACTCCGCTGCCAGGTATGATTCATGAGTTAGTTTCCGTGTACCCTGTGATTTGCTCCTGTCCAGGGCGGAGTTGTGGACCCGGCCTATCTTCGATGCTCCAAGCGACTTGAGTGCAAGTTGCACTGCCCCCAATTACGCGACAAAAGGATACGTCTGCGTCTCCGAGGGTGAAGCTGTCAAAACGGAAAGATCCAAGGAATTCACTTCAACACGCTGAGGTCTTGGCACGCTTCCATATTCAGCCCAACACCCGCGATTGATCTTTGGTCGAGAGATATGTATAAAAGTATTGCACTGCAGTCGCGCCGACGCTCCGAGCGACATTTGGATATGTGAGTGGTAAGTAAATAGGAAATTTTGAGGGATGTCTTATTGAACCAGGCTTCATTCATCAGCTCCATCCGAGCCGAAATGGAGGGCTCTGAGCACAATGTCAAGCTGACAGGTGAGGATCTCAGGCAAAAGCCACTCACCTCACCGTGAAAGAAAAACCTATGAAGGGTGGTCATAGATATCCATAAATCAATCTCAACCAACAACTCTTCAGCTTACTCGCGCATCTATCAGAATTTATCTATCTTATATAACTCACTCTCGCCTACTTTGCAAATCGTATTCACTCAACACTCTTGCAAGATGTTTGTTAAAAAAATGTACTTTGATGTCTTTGCATTCCTCATTGCCTTACACTCTACTGCTGGTCAACAAGGTACATATGACAAAGATCTACATATCCTTCTTTCACAGAGCTGACCAATACTTTTGTTTTATTTGTAGAAGAAACTAGTACCCAGCATCTGGCCACCAGACAGTTCAATTTCCAGCGTGGCCTGTTCAGTTACAGCACCTTTGGTTTACCCGTTTATAACAATAACCCTTTATACCAATTTAATAACAACTACTTTATCTACAATAACGGAGTACAAATTTCCGTTCCATCAAATGTCTTTCCTACTGGATTTCGCTTCAATATCGCACCACAATACCCAAACGGTTTAGTTGGACTTGCACCACTCGGTAGATATTATCAACAGTTCCCAATGTTTAGACATGGGAATGTATTTGGTTATAATCGTGGTGGACAGTTTATTCCACTTCCTACCACTTACAATTTTTTGCAAAAGCGGTCTACATCTGATGACTTGAGCTCTCCAGAAAAGGAGTTTGTTGCATGAACGGTTACCACAGGAAGCCTTAAAAGTCAGTGATACTTGACTCTGCAAGCCTTGGTTTTCACTGACATTGGCTTTCACTAAATAGAATTCTTATTTACAAAGGTCAAATGCCACTATATAAAGCTTCCAGGTTCTCAATTTTGTTATGGTTTTCTTCATATAGTGAACATTGGTGGTGCTCTGAGCTTCAATTTTTGATCATCATTGACTTCTTTTTACATCACTTCTCTTCCGCTGTTTAGTTCAGAGGAAAAATTGTGTTTCTATTCTTTTGTTTGTAAACTCTCTCAGCCCAGAAAAGGACAATGCATATGAGTGTTTTCAAAGTTTTGTATTATAACACAAATGATGATTTCTTTTTTGTTATCTTGAACTTGTTTGATCTTTTCTACACACAAGCTCTTACGACATTTTTGTAATGAGTAGCAATTTGAGCAACTTAAAAATCCTTGTTTTTCTTCAAAGTTTCAGCTTTGTCTTACTAGGCGTAGGAGAGGAGAAATAAGAATACAAAATGGAGAGAGTTCAGAATGAAAGAAAACCCAACCCTGCCCAAAAAACTAACTATGGTTGGTAGTGCCGAGAAGCGTCAAAGGTCGGACCAGCGAGTATTACTCTGCCAACTTGAGGCCGAGCCACAAAACTCACTGAATTTGGGAGCCAAGGATACTGTTGGACTCCTGACATTGATGGCAATCCAGATATGTCATTGGAAATTCAATATTTGAACTTCTTGTTTTAGTTGGTTTCTACAACATAACCAAATCTTGTCTTGAAGTGTAGTTTTTGATAAATATCCGGTGTGGGATTTGACGCTTCTCGGCACTAGCAACCATATGCCAAGCTACCAATTCACTCGGATGACAGCCATGCCTACACCCTATGTTAACTACCCTTACCAATGATAACTGGATGCCAAACAGCTCACACACCCTTCATCCATAGGCCACCACACACAAGGCCCAATAAGCCTCGTGGATTGTCTTTGAATTTAAGGATGATATGAGTATCTCAACAATCTTTTTTTCCCTTTCTTTGACTAAGTCTTAGTAGTATATACTCTCTTTGTGGAGGAAGAACCATGAAACATGGTGGTTCTGTACCATTGAACTCAGGATGGCCCATTCCATCATACCACAAATCTACCAAAAGCCAAATGAGATCCAAGGACAATGGGTGTCCATTTCTGTCTGTTTTCATATGTTTCATTATGGCTTTTAAATCATACCATCCTTCAACTTCCCTCTTCACACGTACTAATGAAGATCCCAAGATAATAGGTTGATTTGCTTCAGAGATATATTTGATCCATATAAAAAATACTCTTTGAGAAATTTCCATCCATTATCAGATATAACATCCCAAATTGAGTTGGACTCTCACTGTCAGAAAATCACTGATGCCTGCCAGGCTTGGGCCATTGTGATGTGAGCCACAGGTTGGCCCCCCTTTGAAGCCAACCAAATTTCACATCCTGCCCTGACAAAAGCAAGGCTTCCACTATACTCAAAAAGTCCTCTGTGAACCGCTGAAGTGCACACAACTTAGTCATCATGGTGCCATCTCTATGCAAATATGCCAACACAGGATCAGTGAACATTTGCAGTTTATTCATATTTGCAGACAAGTCACTCACACAGCTAATGATTTATTTTGAATTTTTGCAAAAACCCATTCATACATTTTTCAGCAAATTCTGAAACATCCATCAATGGTCCCCAGTACTTCATTGTGTCTGGTATGTGCAAGGCATATGTAGTGGTGATTTGGAAGAATGACTATATTGTCAAAAAGCCTTGCCAAAGTCTCTATTGAACAATGAAAGGTACATATATATACAGACTCTTCTTCAAGAATAATTGCACTCATGTCAGGATATGACTCTATAGAAAGAAAAATTTGCAATAAAAGAGTTGATGACAAAACAAAAGTAGATTCTAGACAGAGATATCCATACAAATATTTCAGTCTACAAGAGCCACCTCCTCTTGTGGTAGATGTGTAAAAATTGATATGCAATCAGAGCTGGTAAGTAACTTCCGGTTCTTGTGCACCATTTGATACACATATAAATGGAGTTCCTTATGTTGCTCAAAAACTGAGCTTTTGATTTTGGTGGTTACATTTCTCAATGCATCTAGGGAGGCAATGATTTGCTTGTGACATATAGCTTTAAGTTTGGGAAGGATCAACACTTGATTTTATCAAAGCAATGGTACATCATTGATCCTTTCAAAATCATGGTTCAAAGTTCTGGAGATGATATTGATATTCATGGACTATTGGCAACACAGTACAGGCTTTTTGGGCTTGAGATAGTCTTGAAGCCAGGTATAGTGGTATAAGGGGTGCTGTGAGCTTTGGACCACTTAGGCCAAGCAGTGCAGTGCTCTGTGTCAGAAGGTTGCTCTATCTTAGTAGATTGTGTCATGCCAGACTCTTCATGGGATTGCTCAATCTCAGAAAGTTCAGAAAGTTGTTCTATCTCTGGAGCTTCATCAGAATGTGGTTTGCCGTCTTCTAGGTATGCAGATTTCAGGGGTGCAAAATAAAGAGCCCTGATTTTGTGACAAAACTAGATCAGATTGGCAGGCTGTATTGTATTGTTCATCATCAGGTTGTGTTGAACATAATAATCTTCACTGACCCACAGACAGCTAGTCCACAAAGGCTGGTACATTTGTTGACTGAAATATTGAGATGAGTATCCGGCAAGAAACACACATGAATGAGGAGATCATGACCAACAAGGTGTCTGGGACATATGAATGGGTCCCTTTTCAGGTTCAAGGCTTTCTGAATCACTATCCCATTTGTCATCATAATTCTTGCAGTAAGCCTCTCCACTAAGTTTTTCTATCTCATCCCTTTGACATTTTTGTTGTATCCACGTCTTGAGCCTCAGGATAGTCTGATTCATGAAGCTGACTGCTGCACAAGCTGGGATCGGATCCTAGTTTCAACTTTATGTTTTCAGTGTTTTTGTGTAAGTACCATGGGGCATTTCAAAAAAAATACATGCTTTCATGAGCTAAAGTGTTTGTCAAAAGTGCCACTGCCATTTTTCAAGCAAGAATGACTCTGTCTTGGGTTGGGCTGAGCCTGCAAGGGCCGGATACCCTAAGTGCATGAGGGAGCAAAGGGGATCCCCTTGTGGAACTGGGGACTTAGCAAATTTTGTTGGGTGTTGTAAGTTACCCTAGCAGCAGCTAGCAACTAGCTAATTCTATAAGGCGATTTTCAAAGTACATGTGATGATACAGGAGTCTGTATCATCCTATACATTGGGTGCTTTCCAGTGTGCACAGGTGAGTGTGGAAGTGGCCACTCAAGGAGGCAGCAGGTGGAGGTCAGTTAAATTGAGGTGGAACTGAAAGGCAGCACACACCATGCTAAAGAAACTTGATTGCTTGAATCAAGATGTATGAATCAAAGAACCGTTCAAGAATGTCAGATATAACAAATAAAGTTAGAGGAACCTAAATAAGGTTTAGGCTTGAGAAATTGAGAAAAAAGGGGTTTTGGACCACAGATCAAACCCTAGGTTTCTGGGCAATGCTAGGGCTGTGACCCAACCCTGGCCCCGCCCGGCCGACTGTGCCTGCTGTTTTCTGCAAGCAGACAGTATGTGCCCTGACACACCAAAACCTACTTAATAAGAGTCATAAAAGCCCTGTGGGCACCTCAGACAGACCAGGCTGCCTGGGTGCCATCATTTCTTTTGTTGAAAGATGTAAAAAATTGCCTTCTGATCAGTTGGGCCCCATGGCTCTTTCCAAGCTCTGAGTAGGCTGATATAAGGTTTATATACAATTTCATACACCTAGATGTGCAATAAATGCCAGAAATCCCCCCTATGGCCCCTTTTAGCACTTATAATCAATGTGGGTTGTGCCCTGGTTGCCCCTGAGTGTTTTCTGGATCCCATTGGGTCTGCCACAGGCCGGGCAATGCCCTGGGGTTGCCCTGTCCCACTCAGGGCCGGGTCACAGCCCCAGGCAACACACATGACCTCAAAACTTACTGATGATTTTCACAACAGCTGTACATCAAAATCAGTATTGCATATCACGTAGCCAACCAAAAACAACTTACACATCCTGCGTGTGTAGTTAGAGCATCTCCAACACAGGTTGGTAAACGTACACACGTAAGCTGTATGTTATGTTTACCGACCTTGGTCACAAAATGACCATGCAGCGCGGTCTGAATAGTTGACAGCTCACCATGTGTGTGAGTTTGACTTTCCAGCAAAACACCTTTCACACGGTTGGTATAGTGGGTAGTGTCAAAGCCTTTGAAATTTCAGCCAAATTTCAGGCGCGATATTCCATTTTTTCAAATTCAATGTTCTCACTCCAATCTCAACTTTTCAAGCATTTGAAAACAGAATCATGATCCTAAACCCAGTCGCTTCCCATGCATAGCTTTTTTTTTGGATCCGATCACAGATTTTTGTTTTCATTGTCTTTTTAAAAATTCAATGTTCTCGCTCCAATCTCAACTTTTTGAGCATTTGAAAGCAGAATCATGATCCTTAACCCAGTCGTTTCCTATGTATAGCTTTTTTAAAGAATCTGATGACGGATTATTTTTATTTTTATCTTTATTTTTTTATTTTTTTCATTTTTTTTTGAAAATCCGAAGTTCTGGCATGAGATTTGACATTAAGAGCATGCAAGAACAGCTATGGGATGTTCAGACCCATTGCTATTGATGGGCAGTGTTTTTAGAGATTGGAGATGTGTAGTTTTTTTAAAAGATCAGAGGTGTGATTTTTGGCTCAAGTGCAAAGTCGTTTACTTAAAACTTTGAGATTTCATGTGATGCATGTGACAAGTGCTGAGAGAAAAAGAAACTAATGATACCTGGAGAGAAACAATAAAAAATACAAAAACAACAAAATAAAGAAAAATAAAGACAGATCACAAGAAATCATTCATTGGATGTTCAGACCTATTGCTATCGGTGTGTAGTTGTTTTATGAGATCAGAGGGTTTGTTTTGGCTTGAGTGCCGAGTTGTTTACTAAAAATCGAAAATCTTGAGATTCGATGTGATTCAATTGGAAAGGTTGACGTCTGTTGCCGCTGTGAGCGGAACTTGTCGATGAGAAGTGTAGACCTGCGCGTTTGGATTGGGTCCCTTTGTTTTTGCCCTACAGGATGAATTCACATATTATGATTGTATACAAAGAGATTATGTCTGTCTGTTTGAAACAAACCAGAACAACTTACATTAGGTCACTTCTTAATTTATCAACTTTCTTGAAAAACTTGCGTATGGTGATAAGGGGACAGGTGGTCCTCACAGTTTGCCATAGAGTTTTAGCTTCTTGGATAGTATTGGCAGTGTGACTCAATTTACGATATCCTAGAGCCAAATCAAGATGTAAACAATGAAATCAATGAACTGGTGTGGTTTATACAGTAGTCAAAAATGGCTTACGTGGTTTGATATAGCACCAAAGAAGCTTGATAGGGTTCCATTCGCAGTGAAACTTGAGTAAAAACATGCACAAGTGGCCTGCATCTTCAATAACTTTCTGGAGCACCGGCTTTTCGTTTTTGAAGTCGGATTGATTGGAGAGGACCTTGTACGCACAGCAATCTTGAACGTTGTTGTTGGGTGATGAAGCTTCATTTGGTTCCGAGTTGACTGACTTGGTAACTAGGGAGGCATTTTCAATAATCCTTTCGGATTGACGAATCTTGTCTTTAGCAGAACCGGTTTGTCTGCAATTTTCACACTTCAATACCATGGCTTTGAGACCTCTTAATGCGCATTGTTGGTTGTGATAGCTCCACAGTCCTTGTTCGGCTAGAATTTGCTGGACTCCTTTTGGTTGGTCTGCTAATTTGAGGTCGGGCTGATCTTTGATTTTCTTGACACCAGTATAATTGGAAGGAAAGTTCATTGTCTGAATTTGGCCTCGCAGGTTGGCAGGTATGTTTGGATCATCAGAAGGGATGATAGTATCTTGAGGACAAGGTTTTACACCACCAGATCCTAAGTTCATCTTTTCAACCCAAAGAGCATCATGAGAAAAAGATTTGTGAGCCGAGGAACAGTCGAATATGAAGAGAGCTTGACATCCAGGGTTCAGAAACTCAAAAATTGGAATTGCTCGAGTTTTGACCTGTTCAATCAGTTGACGCCAGTTCCACCATGCATCACCTTGACTACCAGGGTAAATTACAACTGCAGCATCCTTGAATGGGAGTGTGCAGTCCACCTCTGGAGGTATTACAAGACAACCATGTTTATTTTCAATAAAGTCTGAAAGATGCATCAATTTTCCTTCACTCTTCCGTTTGAGTGCGCAGTCCTTCTCTGACAACCAAGCATATTTTGGTTCCTTGCCTGTGTGAATAGTCCACTCGTCCTGATAAATCCAAACAATCTCTTGGGTTGAGCCTTCAAGTTTTGGGTGCACAATCTGATCTAGCTCATTTCCGGTGTAATCAACTTCACATTTGCTGAATTCATTGAGTTGCTTGTCAAAATCCTGTCTCTTCAAAACAACGTCCGCACGTTCGTGACCATTGTAATAGATACATTTAGAAACAAGTGTAACATGTATCCCAAGCTTATGCATCCATTTATTAGCCGTAGGAACTGAAATATCATTGGAATATTTGTCAAATTGAGGTAAAATCTCTTCATTGACATGACAAGCAAGCTTTTGAGGTGTGATCTGAGCAGACAAATCATCATTTTAAAATCAAATGTAGCAGCAATTAAGTTCAAAGCTATGTACATACCTTGCCAACCTGATCATCTGAAATCCAATCTGTGATCATCCGGAAAAGTTTAGGATTGTCAAGCATTGAGGGATGCTGGTTGGCCTTACCAGTACATGGTTCTATCAGTTGATTGTAATCTATCAGATGACTTGCTTGCTTTTGAATCTGAGCTGCGTGACCAGGTCCACCTCCCAAACCAGGTTTACCGTCAATTTTTTGAGACATCACTGCCTTTGCTACTGATTTTGAGGCTTCAATCTTGCATGATCCTCGGCTTGAGAGATTGAGTTCCTTTAGTAGATTATTGTATTCACACAGTTCAAGCAGGGTGTTGTGATGTTCAATCAAGACTGAAGGTGAAGGTGAGTGTTTAATATAATAGGCTTTGGCTTTTTCAATGCAGACTTTGAGTTGTTCCCAATTTTGGTGGATGTGAGCAAGCTGGTGTGCTGTCTTGTAGATTGGTTTAGCAATTTTAGAATGATTTTTGTCTTGTTCAATCATGGGAGTGTTGAGAGAGTCCTGTGTGCTAGATGGTTGCTGAGGCTGGCGCTACTGACGGAGGCGCTGAGCCTGACAGCGTCTATTGATTGCCATTGAGTTTGATTTGAGGATTATATATATATATCTGATAAATCATTAGGTTGATCTGAGGGAAACAAGCCCTCATTCAAAATATGATCCCGCGGGGTCATTTTCATTTCTCAGGGCATCTACCCCGTCTGAAATTTCAAAGGCTTTGACACTACCCACTATACTCCATATTTGGAGTACCAACTGAACTTTTACAGCAAGCTGTATTAGCCAAGTATTGGACAGGCATTTGGCCCATGTGATGATAAAGTCACCACATGTGTCCTATCTTCTTGTTGTCCAACCAATTGATGGCTATTTGGTGGCTCAATTGGGTGAGGGTTTGGCCACTTGGGCAGCTCAAAACGACTCCAAAACTTATACCTCATGTGCGCGTTGGACGCAACAAAGCTGAAAATGAAATACAGCTGTCATATTTTTTCCCGCAATTTTTTGGGGGTCTGTATTTGGTTTACAGAACAGGTCCGCGTTGGAGATGCTCTGAGCACAACCCGGTGCCTCGTGTCCGTAAGGTCAAACATCAAATCATTGATGTTTTCACACCTCTACCTAGCATTGGTGGCAATACCCTTAGACATACTTGGGTTTGGCATCTTCTCAGATCTGGAATTAAATGCCAAATATTTGAAGATCAGAATACCTCCATGGATTCTAGTCAGTTTCTTCGCTTGAAGGGGATCAACTGGTAGAGCTTCTTGACTAGAAAATAATAAACTGGACAAAGTCCCTTTGTCTCGCTTGTTTTGGCTCCGTGCTTTGTGATTTGAACTTGTCCTTGCAAGACATCAGGATTCACAAACACAAAATCAAACATGTCAGAAAGAATAGCCAAATTGTTGTTGGAAAGAAAAAGTATATGAAAAGTACAACAATAAGATTGTTTTATAGAATTGTGTTGGATGAACTTTACATTGCAATAAAAATCGATGCTTTAAAGCGAGTAAAGAAAAATACTGATTGGGTTTCTCTTCTCATCTGAACCTATCACCTACCGCCTTTTTGTTGTGTTCTGATTTTCAAAGATCAGAAATAAATGTAGCCTCCTGAACAAGTTGTAAAAGATAAACCTCATCAGTTTGGAAGTTTCACAAGGTTGGAGAGGATTTGATACACACATTGAACATGTATCCATCAACGGTAATCGTCTTGGAACCTGAAGCTTCCGTTGAAGAAGGCATTTCAATCGTAGCTTGAGCCGGATTATGCCACTGTATTTGATCAATTCAGTCAATAATCGAAGTGAACCTCATAAAGAAACTCAAAAACAGAGGAAATGGATCAACTCACAGTATAAATGTAAGGACGAGCACCAGCCACCGTTGCAACGAATTTCTTAATCAAATAAGGGATTTGAGCCATCACATCCACTTTTTCGATTAAACCTTTCGTTTCGTAATTGGTAGTACTAGATGATGTCAAATCGAGTTTAACTCCAGCTTTCAATTCTCCTTCTCCTTCAATCACCGGACCTTTCCAAGCAAAACTTAATCCTGCTGGTGCTTGATAGCCAGTATCCGAATCAAGCATAAACGGACCTTCATGGGTAGTCTGAGCACGAGGTGAACCAGCCACAGAAAGTAATGTGTCAGGAACTGTAGCACGATCGACCGTGATGGTTTGAGCTGGACCATAATAAGATCCAGGAACGGTAGTAAACTCCATAGTAATTAAGCTCACACCTTGGTCTTCTTCTTCACCTCCAGTAGGAACCGATTGAAAATTACAAAAGTTCCAACGAGAAGCAATGAGATTAGGTCTCATACCTTGAACTGCATGAATGAAGATAGCACGACCGGTATCAAGTTGAATTCGTTGACCATCAATGTTGATTTCTCCAGTTAAAGTACAACGAGGCCAGAATCGATGTACCACATATCCATCTGATCCAGCCGTCGTGTCAGGTTTGTTTCCAACTTGTGGTTTCTTTCCATTAGAATTACCAAAATAAGTAAAACCACCTTGAGCATCATGACCTAATTTCCAACCTGGTACACCAGATAATTGAGTGATACTAAAATCTAATGATACATTATTGTCATGTTGACCGTTTACATGATAAGTATTGGGTTGAGATGGATCGAGTAAGATTGAAAATTGATCAGATTTGCATGATCGACGATCGTAGTTGACTTTAGGTTTCGAATTCGATGGTGGTGATACTTTGAAATTCGTGACATTGGTCGATTTCCATACGTGAGTTTTGGTTTCAGGATCGTAGTAACGAAAAGTAAATTGAATCTGCGGGTACCAAAGACTGAACAAATCAAAAGGCCAATGGTCAGTTGATTGTTTTTATTAGGATCAGGAGTCGACGAATACAGAAAGTTCAATGTTTTTAAAGACAAGATGAATATGAAACACGATCGAGTAATCATCGAAACAAATGAAGAAAAACGAACCCAACAGCAGAATGAATGACTTGACACATTACTAATTTACCACCCGGTAAGGTGATATAAAAGGTTTGAGTCTCAGTCACAAAGCCAGACGATTGAGCTAACCAAGCCGTATCCTTTACAAGAAAACGATACCATGGTCATCAGTACGGGTTTAGTGTGAAGAGAATGAAAGTAAGATTGATTAACCTCATCTGTAAGAGTTCCGAAAAGGGATTGATCGGGGTAACGAGATGTGACTGGATTGATAGTATTGACGGAAGCAGATAAAGGTGGTGAAGTAAGTGTGGAAGAAGTTGAGGATGGTGGTGCTTGGATTGAGAACCAAGACATGATGATTGTTTAAGATGGTTGAGGATTTCTCGATTTGATTGAGAGTGAAGTGTTGAAATGGGTTGGAAAGGGAAAAGAAAGAAAGTTGAAGTTGAAGTTGACGTTGGAATTTGATTTGTAGAAACTTGGAAAACCAAATACAAAATTAAACACTTTAATCAAAATGAAAACCCTATCAAATCGAATTTAACAAAAACCCTTCATCAATCATACTCCCCTGGGCGTCCTCACATTCTTGAACTTTCTTGCCGAACAGAGATCACTCACTTCGGCAGGGATTAAGAAATGAAATTGCAATCTTCCATCACAAGATTTTATCGTGTTCCAAAAGGTTGAATGCTCATTTAATAGCACAGCTCATTAAATGGTCAATATTCCAACTGAGTCATTCGGCAACAATTCTGACAAACAAAAAAGGATTTTTAAACTCAATCACTTTTCACCTTGGAAAAATACATTATTTCTGCAGTTATAGTGTGCATGTTTCCAAACCTCAGAGAAACATTCATACATTTGATTCTGATCTGCATCCGCCTGAGCACACGCACTGAGCACCACTGCCAGGGCAATGGAAATCATTGCAAAGAGTCAATTATCTCTTGAGCCATCCTCCGAGCTGTTGCCAGAGGAATGTCAAGAGAGCAAAATTTTGTAATCATATCAACCTTTCCTCAGCTCAATTCAAGTCTGGACAACCCAGACCCTTGGCTATCCATCCCCAGTCAACACCTTACGTGATGAAACCTTTTAGATGAAGTTCAATCAGAACTTGTTCAGGAAACTTGTGAGAGTGGAAATAGAGAACACTCGAACCTGGAGATAACACTAATTAATAAAAGGTGAAAAAGAGAAATGATTAATAGTAACTATTTGCTAACCTATTCCGAACGGGCAAGGATTGGGTCGTGAGGAAATAAACTCAGATGAAAATAATAAAAAGAGTTTAGATGAAGAAAAAGGGAACAACATTCTTTTGGACAAAGTGAAAATACAAATAGGTGAAAATTGTCAACCATTCTTTCCCAATCCGTCATAACTCTCCTCTCATCTCTATGTTTTGTCTCTACGCCTCTTTCCATCCCAATCCGTCATAAACTGGTTCAACTTGTGGTTTTCTACTTAGGTTAACAGGTAAGGGTGAAGCAGCTACTTATCGTTCAAGATTACGCTCCTGAACTAATTCACAATCTAAATTGAGGAGTTCAATTTCTTCTTGTTTGTCCTTCTTTGCTTTCCTCTTTTCAATAGCCTCAGGGCTCAAATCTTCTTCTTCCTAAAGGGTTTCTTGATTGGGCTTGAATATAGGCCACCTAAGAGATTGATAATGCTGGTTGATGCTGTCGCAGCTTGCTCAATCATAAGTTGATTGCTTTTCTTTGCAGCCTTATTCTCATTTTTCATTTCTTTGTAATATGCTTGAGTAAGTAATGACAATCGAGTTGATTCAAGGACACCTAATGAGAACACTGTGTACCTAAACAATCAGTGCCTAATGTGAGCACTAGCGGTACTCAAAGTTGTGTATACTTTGCCATACATAGTTTTTCTTTTCTTTTTCACAACTACACACGGCCAGGAAAAACTATGTTTCTGGCTCAGAGGTACATATTTTTGAGCTGCAAACAAAAGACATACTTTTTCCAGGTTGTGTCTAGCTGCAAAAAGACAAAAAAACTATACACAGCAAAGTATACACAGCTTCGAGTACTGTAAATGTGTTCAGGTTTGAAGTTTTTGAGGAATCCCTTGTTGAATATCGCCATGGCTTCTTGTTGCATTGGGTGTTGTTCACTTTTGATTTTGGCAACAGCCACCTTATCACTTTTGTTTTTCTCCTCATGTTCCAACACTTTTGCAGCCGCTTTGCTGATTTATTCAGCTACTATCTTGGGTCCAGAAGTTTGAGATTGCTTGGAAGTCACAGCTGAGGATCCAATTGGGCTCCTTTTGCTTTGGACAAATTGTTTTCTGGGCTGTCATCCTTGTCCCTGTCACTGTCATCAAGGGCAGCTTCAGCCGCTGTGAGACCGTCGTTTTGAGAGCAAGACTTGATGAAGGAATAGAAAGAGAAATGGAAAGAAGAAAATAATATAAAAAGAAAGATTAGAAACAAAATAAAAAGAAACAAACAAATAGATAAAAAAGAATATGTATCTTACAATTCCAGTGTTCCTCTTCTTCTCTTGCAAAGGAGGTGGAGGCCCTGTACCTTCAATATCACCAAAATATGAGTCATTGTCCTTATTTGAATCAGATCTGTGAGATTGAGATTGAGATCAATCTTGTCCTTCATTTGAGCCATCATCAAAATACAAAGGGTGAAGATGTATCTGTCAGTATTGACTACTGTAGCCAACAAAGAAGACAAGATGATCAAACTTACCATCTTTGTTCTCATCTTTGTCTTCCTCCTCTTTGTTTTCCTCATCTTCATCATCAGTTTATAACTCACCTGCCTTCTTTTTACTTTGAGTTCCATACCCGTTGTTACCATTGGCTCAAAGTTTCTTTGGAGGTATGATTGTTTCTACAGCTTTATAGGCAGGAAAACCGCTGTGTTGAATTGGTTTGGCATCACCATTGCCTTCCTATCATGTGGATATTGAATTCCATCACCTGAATCAACCATCTATATATATTAAAGTTGATTGAAAGTGGCTTACCTTTTGGATCCAATTAAACCACCAGTCCTTATCAGCACTGACCTTGCCAGTTACTGTATTGGTTCCAGGAGCACTGGAAGAATTGATAATCTTGTCAAAAGCCTTGCAAGTCTTCTTTAACTGTGTACAAATGAAACAAACCATAAAGAGAGTCAGTCCAGTTGAAATGAAAGAAAGAAATGAAATGAACCTGACATTTTGGAAATGATTCTTCAATTGTCTCAAAGATGTGTTGTTTTTGAATTTGAGGTTGAGGTTTTCTAAAACAGTTTTCCAACCCTTGGTCTTGAGGTCACCATCATTACCTCTAACAAGATCCATTTGATGTTTAATTTTGTCGATGAGATAGAGTGTTTCCTTATGAATCCATGAGTCACCAGATGTGTCTTTATCTTCAGCTTCATCTTCCTTCTTATCTTCCTTCTTATCTTTGACTTGATCTTTCTTGTTATCTTTAACTTTAGTTGACTTGTTTGGTTTTGGTTTAATTTTTGATTTTGAGTTTGTAATTTCAATTTCTTTGGGTTCAGAATCAGATTGAGCCATGTTGGATCAAGAGTGGAGTTGATAAAGGTGTTGGATGATGGGTGAAGACGTTGGATGATGGCAGAAGACAATGGTTTTGAAGTGAGCCCAGTGATGGTTTTTGACAAAGGTGGTGAATGATGGATTTTGAGAGGTTCTGTACGGTGGAAGGGGACTTGTACAGCCATATTCATGATTGATGAAGATTTGAAAGAAAAACTTTTTGAATAATCACAGCAAATTGTGAATACAGTATTACAAGTACAGCAAAGATCATTCATCACCACAGTTTTGCTGTGATTATTCAATTAGTATTTTTCAAAACATTTGAAAAGTTTTTTTGAGTGTTCATCAATCAGGAATACGGCTGTATATTTCAACAAAGGTTTACGAGAAGTTGAAATGTGATTTATTGAAAGGAAAATTCAATAAAACTGAATTCTGTGAAATCGGCTCATGAGTCGCATTTTACAAGCATTCTGCACATTACAGAATGCTTTTAATTAACATGTCAAACACATTTTACAGAATGCAAATTCTTGACGTTCAAGAACTCGGATTTCCGCGGAAATTTGCCAGTGAAGGCGGCCTATGTAAACAATCTGTGCAACCTTCCGTACGTTACTGATTGACGGCACGGCTGGGAATGCTCTAAGAGCATCCGCACTCATGCAGTGAATTGGGTGTGGTAAGTTTAAATTTAATGCAACCACGGGGTCTTTTCCACACCGGTGAAAAATTAGCCCCGCGGTAGTTAATCTTTGATAACTTTGCGTTAGCAAATCGGTAAATTTACCAATTGGCTAACACATGCGTTATCAGACAGCACAACTCGTCCACGGCAACTTTGACCACAAAAACGACTCATTCCAACCTCCAACACCAAATTCAACCTTCAACACCGTCTTCTCACCTCTCACACTTCTTAACCCCGCAGTCACATGAACCATACCAAAAACGCTCGATGCCAATCAATGTTTTTCCCATCTTTGATATTGTGTGATTTTCAAATCAAAATTGATCAATTGAATATCTTCAACTACACTTCAAACCAATCACATGAAGGTAGAGAATATCAGGATTCAAAACCAAAATCTGAAGATCAATTAGTTGAGGACTTGGAATCAAGAGTTACAAATCAAAAATCAAAAAAAGTTTTGATACATTAGATTGGTCATCTTTCTTTCCTTGTTTTGAATCTTTCAAATTTCTACAAGATCATAGTATTCAGTAAAGCCATTGTTGTTTAACTAGAATTCATGTACCAAGTAGCTGAACAAAGTCATGTTGACTTTGTCCTTTTAAATCAAGATCTATTGATCAAATAGATGAACAGGATGATATCGGATCTTCATGTGTAGATGGAGAATTTGAAAGTATCTTAGTGCAAAGAAGAGAACAGTGCCTCTATCATATGAAAACTGGCAATGAAAGCAGGTGATTTGTACTCAAAAAAATTAAAACTTTACCTTACTGCATGGCCGGTGTGGAGCACACGCATTATCTGTAAAGCTGCAAAAGTTGCAGCACTGCTAATGCAAACAAGTGTGGATTTTTGATGAATTAAGTAATAGTGGCTCTCAAACCTGACCCAGTTTCAAAAAACCCGGTTGCCCCAGTTGCATTTTTGGCTGGGAGCTGTCAACAAATGTCAACTTGATACACAAAGTTACTGCCAAAAAACAACTGGGTCAACTGGGTTTTTTGAAAACCGGGGCAGGTTTGAGAGCCACTAATCTTTTACTTAATTCTGAGTTATGTAGTTACCGCACGTGATCAAGTTAACAACCGCAAACGAGTGTGGATGCTCTAAGTGCTTAATTAGGGGGTTTCAAGTCAGAAATTTTTTGTGAAACTTTTTAAAAAACGGACAAGTTTTTTAAATTTTACGGTGGGTTTTTTTTCTGCAAATATACGGTCAACACCATTCGGGACACCTAAAAAGGTGTCCTGATTTTTTTAAATTTACGGTATATTTTGCAACATTAGGGGGTTTCAAGTCAGAAATTTTTTGTGAAACTTTTTAAAAAACGGACAAGTTTTTTAAATTTTACGGTGGATTTTTTTTCTGCAAATATACGGTCAACAGCATTTGGGACACCTAAAAAGGTGTCCCGACTTTTTTAAATTTACGGTATATTTTGCAACATCGGACAACTTGTTGGACTGTAAAATACCGTAAATTTATTGACTTGAAACCCCCTATTGCTTTATGGCATACTACACTAGCTAAACAAGTTAGAGAAAAGGACTAGCACATCTAAACAAGACAGCCATCTAGTCAACTCCCAGAGTTTGTTTTGTCTGTTTTTCCAGTCAGCATGGTTGAGGAAGGTGTCTTGAATGGCCATTCAGCTGCAAGGATCCGATCGTACATACGGACCCGGTGCAGATGATTAAAGCGAATCAGTCAAACCCGCGCTAATGCATAAATTGGGGAGACAATTTTTGCTATGCATTATCGCGGGTTATGCAAATAGGCATAAACCCCCATAATGCATATTTGTATGCATTTAGGCCTAAATGCATTGAAATATGCATTATGACGGGTTTTTGTTGAAATTGTATAAGTTTATGCAATAGTACGTTTGTATTTTGCACGGGTACAAGGACAAGATATTTTTTCAATGCAGAAAAAAACACCACTAGGGGTCAGTTTGACCCCATAGAGGGCTCATTGCTGCCTGATGTTGCCAAAATCCTACTTGCAAAGGATTCAATCAGAGTTCAATGAAAAAAAAACACATCCTGGGGCGCTTTGTAGGCATGCATTATGACTTTGGGGACTTGAAAAGAAGTATGCATTATGGTTTTTGACATAATTATGCAATTAATGACAAAATTGGCCCGCACCAGCTGGGTGGAAACCAAAACTTATGCATTTTGGCTGGTTATGCATGTGCGCGGGTATGCATGTGCGCGGGTTTGACTGTATGACGCTACTATGACGCAGTATACAATTCAATTGACATTCTGACATAAAGGGGTACTACCCTGTTTTACCGCAACCTACAAAGTTTAAACCGAACGATCGTCTTCGTACCACCTGCCATCTCAGGCCATCTCCTTACCCTTCCCTCGAATATTGCGCTCATACACCATAGTTCAGCGATGTCCACCCAACATCACGGCTCGGCTGACTTGCGCGGGCCGTCTGTCACTCCGAACTACCCGCTACGCGAGCCCTTCCCTCGAGCCAATCGTTTCAGGTCAGCTCAAATTGCATGAGAAGACAGTTTTCAGGATGGTGTTCATGAGATTATATCTTGTGATTCAGAAACATAACCCTATCCCATCTGGACAACTTCGAAGGGGGAGACTATGCCGAATATAACATCACCTCTGTCCTTTTCGAGGGTATGCTTTCAACTTCGGATTACTGGTTAATACAATAGTGAGCGTGCCTTGGTTGAATACTTTGTTTAAACGTTTCTGCGAGTAGGTCGAGATGGATCCGAATCAGCTGTTCAGCTCGAAGTTTGGTCAGCCCCCGGTACAACTAAGCCTACCTTTGCGGAAGCTGTCAAGCAAAAGTATACTAAGATTGGCGTTGGTATGTCATGAGGCTAAATACTATTGTCGGTGATTGAAGAAGTGTCTTAGTCCACTTTTTCCTGATGAACGCAGGCTTCGAGTTTGGACCGAGCTGGGTGGGTTTGCACGTTTGTAGGAAATTGTGAACAAATCTTCATACTTATCGAAGTTGAATATTATGTGCAGACCAACCATTGGATTCGTGCAACATTGAATGTGAAGAGCGAATGGCGAGACAAGGAAAGAGTGCAGTTTGAATTCGACCCCGGGTGAGCGGTCTACCTTTCACTATTCAAGGGTCACTGCATTTTGCTCGACACCGATCTTTTTGGAGGAGACTGAGACTATATTTTCTTCAGCTGTGAAGCCATGATCTTTACCACCGAGGGTTTGCCTTTGCAAGGTATTTAAAACTCACACTATCAGACGAGCCATTTTCCTGGGACTTGGAGAGGACAGTTGACTGATCAAATCCGCCGATCTCAAGGCATCACGGGCGGCCACGGAGGAGAACGCAGGGTCGAATTCATCATTCCAAAGGTCGATCGACATCTTCCATTGAGACTTTATATCGAGGTATCTGCCAATGGTCAGTCATTCAGTGTCAATCAATCCTCGCCAGTTTGCCTTATTTTTCATACCCCTTTTCTAGGCCTATTCGGTGTGCCAGATGAAGGAAAACCGATTCATATCAAGAAATATTACAAATTAGAGTCTGCCGATATTGTGGTACCAAGACAAGAGGCCTGGCATCTCATGTGGGATATGCGGGTAATCAGAGGTATACTATGACTTCGATCTCCCTACGTACATTTTTGATCATTGATTGTCCTGACATGTCTCTCTCATTCAAGATATTACCAAGAGTTTGCCGGTGACCAACCCATCTTGTCTTAAAGCACAATCAGTGGCAATGGAAATCTCTAACACCTTCCGAGCGGATGATCTGTCGACTATTGCGACGTGTCGTAAGATAGCAGAAAAGGTTTTAGGGAAAAATTGGAGCAGTCAAAGTCCCTACCAGGAAGATCATGACTGGAACCCAGATGAACAAAGAGACGGCGTGCCAGTCTTAGGGATTGGTAACTGTCATATTGACGTACGTATCACCCTGACTATCACATTCATTGTGTGGTCAAAATCTTACATGAGTTTATCTCAGACGGCTTGGCTGTGGCCATTCTCAGCCACTCAACAAAAAGTTGCCCGATCTTGGTCTACTCAAATAGATTTGATTCAGCGATATCCAGAATACAATTTTGTTGCATCTCAAGCGCAACAATTCAAATGGCTTGAAGAGCTCTACCCTCAACTGTTTTCAAAGGTGAGGCGTGAAATCGAGAACGGTAGATTCCACATCGTTGGTGGCAGTTGGGTCGAACATGACACCAATCTTCCTAGTGGAGAATCACTTTGTCGGTAAGTCTACCATTGTGACATAATTTAGCGATCTTTTTGCGTGTAAGCACTGACACATTCGACATTCTCCTCTGTCGCCTCGCTCAGTCAATTTTCTTATGGCCAAAGATACTTCAAATCAAGGTTTGGTAAAACTTGTGATGTGCTCTGGCTACCGGACTCGTTTGGGTATGGCTCTCAGATCCCTCAGATCTGCCGCTTAGCTGGTATCTCTTGTTTCTTCACTCAAAAAGTTTGTAACTCACTGTTCCGACAGATCCCTCTGGTCCCAAGTTTTTTTCTGATCGTGTCCTATCCATTTGTGTTTCAAAGCTTTCCTGGTCTCAATTCAACAAATTCCCGCATTCAACATTCAATTGGATTGGTATCGATGGCACTCAAGTTTTAGGTTTGTAATCACAGATCCGCTCCTGAGTCTCACCGGCCGAGTCCTCATGCTAGATTGTAACTTCTAAACAGTGCATATGACACCCGTTGACACGTACAATTCTCAAGCCACTGTAGGTGATGTGATCAAGGTGAGTGATATAACTATAGTTTGGGTTGATCAGTCTACTCACACAGCTCTTTGATCCCCAGGCCACTTCAAACCATAAAGACCTTGAATGGTCAGACAAATCCCTGTGAGTGGGTCTCTGACTGCCTCAATGGCTGTAAAAAATCTCACGACAATTCTTTGTGGGTCCTCAGACTTGCGTTCGGAAACGGCGACGGAGGGGGTGGGGTGCGTTGAATTCCCATCTGATGTTGTCATTTTTTATGGATGTCGTTGGTATGAAGATTCTGATTGCACGTGCGTCATAGCCGCTTGCACCCATGTTGGAGAGTCTGCGAAGAATTCGAGCCGCTGCAAATCACGCCCCGGCTTCAGGTATCCCCAAAGTTACATTGGGTAGAGTAAGTGAACCATTATCTTTTATACGTCTTGTGGTTCGATCATATTGATCCCTCTTGATATGCAAAACTACAATAGTCTGTGTCAGATTTCTTCAAAGAGATTCTGCATAACACGCGCGGAGGCAGGGACCTTCCGACCTGGCGAGGTGAGGTAAGCAACGAAAGACCCACAACCTTGGCACCAACTTCGTTATGGTCGTATGCAGAACTGCATCACTGACGGGTGATTTGGAGTTCGATGTCTAGCTGTATCTAGAGTATCACCGAGGAACTTACACTTCTCACGGATCAATAAAACGTCATAATCGCAAGTCGGAGGTGATGCTACGCGAAATTGAATACTTAGCTACGCTAGCTTCGATATCACCTGATCGCAATGGATATGAATATCCTAAAGATACTCTCGATAGCATGTGGGAAACAGGTGTGTATATTTCTGTATCATCATATCATCTACTTTGAAACTGAATGATCCTCATTCTGGCTGCCTTGCCTTGCGTTCAGTTCTTCTTTGCCAGTTTCATGACGTTTTGCCTGGAAGCGCCATCAACATGGTTTACGCAGATGCTGAGAAAGTAGGCAGCATGATGGATTCTCTACCGAGGCTGTATAACGACTATACATATGCTAATGACAATTGCTTAATCACAGATGTACGCCGAAGTGGCAAAGAAGGGTGCTGCGTTGCTAGAGGAAGCACATCAAGTCTTACATCCAAAAAGTTATCCCTTGGAGTTTTTGTCTAATGCCCCCAACAAGATTGGGTCAAGTATCGCCATCAACACGTTATCCTTTCCGCGCCAAGAGGTGGTCAAGATCCCTCTTGAGCAGTATGATGGAAGATCTGCGTTTTCAGTCAGTGATAGCGAAGAGGATTCGTGCTTTGTGATTGCAAAAGATGGAACCGGGAACGGTGTGATGGAATTCGTCTCGCTGTCTACCTATCGTGAAAAGATCACTCCAGCCACTGGTGAGTTCCGAAAAGATCGATGGACAATCGATTGAGAACTGGTCTCTATGAATACTTATGATTACGTATATCAATAGCATGCACGGCTTATGGGGCCGACGGAGAGTTGTACTATATACTTGCCAATGCGTTTTTGACTGTCTGGATTTCCCCCAAGGGTCAAATCACAAGCGTCACAGACACTACTTTAGGGTGAGTCAGGATGATCGAAGGCTGCTAGTTTATATTTACAAAACTCATGTCGAACGTCATCATCTAGTCGTCAGATCCTACTGCCCGACTCGAAAGCAGGCTTTGTCATCTTCCAAGGTACGCGCTATCTCAAACTTGAACTCCATTAAAAAACACGACTGAAAAAGCGCGCGTCGTTTTTTAGACCAGCCAATCAACTTCGATGCTTGGGATGTTGATATTTTCCATTTGGATACCAAGGAAAGCATACTGGCAAGTTCGATTGAAGTGACTGAAGCCAAGGGCCTGCGAGCAAGTCTTGTAGTTCAGTATGAGTTTGGCAAGTCTAAGATCTTGGTAAGTGATCTCTCTTGTTGAGTGAAGTATAGGTAATTGATTTTGAACCCGCGTAAACAGTCAACTATCTCCCTCGATGCAGTTCCTGGCTCATTGAAGGATGATGCAATGACCATGCTTCGATTTGATGTTATTGCGGATTGGCATGAACGTCATCGGTTCTTGAAATTCGAGCTACCGCTTGATATTAATGCCGATCAAGCCACTTATGAAATTGCTTTTGGTACACTGAATCGTCCTACTCATAAGAATACAACTTGGGACGAAGCTAAATTTGAGGTTTGCGGACACCGATTCGCTGACTTATCCGAGTTTGGATATGGGGTGGCATTATTGAATGATTGCAAATGTGAGTGGGTAGGACTTGGGACTAACTTGACGGATTATATGCTGATAGACTAAATCAATGCCATTCAGATGGGTACTCGTGCGAGGGATCTTATCTTCGTCTATCTCTTCTTCGATCAGCAACGAATCCTGACCCACAACAAGATCAAGGTCATCATAGATTTTCATTTGCAGTCTTACCTCATCGAAGTCATTTCTTAGAGAGCAACGTCCCACAAGCAGCTTTAGCATTTAACAACCCACTTCATTTGAGATTTATGGAGAGTGGTGCCATGATCAAGTCTTCCATTTTGAATGACGCATTTCAACTCGAAGGTCGGGGTGCACGAAATGTATTCTTAGATACCGTCAAGAGAGGAGATGATGATACATTTGGATTTCATTCTCATAAGGAAACAAAGTCCGTGGTCTTGAGGTTGTACGAAGCATTTGGAGGATCAACAACCTTGGATTTGATCACGTAAGTCCGATTGAAATCATCATCACACAAAGTCTCTTTTCTGGTATTGATGAAAGATACAAACCATGAATCTTTTTTAGGAAATTACCTGTCAAAGAAATTTTTGTGGTTGATATTTTAGAGAGATGGGTGGAAGCTGTACCATTAGTTGAATATGTTGATGGAGGTCAAAAAGTAGAGCTCAAGTTTAAAGGATTTGAGGTGAAGACGTTGAAATTGTTATTGATTGATGAATAGGCAAAAGGAACTGGGTAAAATGAAATAGAGGTGAAATAATTTTGCTCATGTATTATCCCAATGGTTTTCCTTCTTCATGGTGTTTGGTAAAAGAATTGTTGGCAGAAGTTGTAAAATGATCAATTGATGATTTGTAAAAGGGTTTAAATCTGCCCTTTTTTGTTGTTGTTGTTCTTCTTGTAGTATTGCATTCTACTTATAGATTCTAGTGATCTGTTCAGTTGTGTGCTTGGGGCTCAGTGATGTTAATAACCCATTTCTACAATTTATTTATGGAAACAATCGCACAAAATGAAGGTGATGTGATCAAAACATAGACTGTGACATCGAGTATGATTACCAAGCTGGGAAGTTTTGAAAGCTGCTTGAGATACCATCAAGGGCAGACTGGGCCGAAATTCTGAAGACAATCAAGGAGGATGTATGTTCCAACCAGATTTTACATATTTCATAACCGGACGCGGTTTTCAGACATCACCTCGAGCATTATGGAGTTTGGGGCAAAGGCCTGGCGGTATCTCATATCTTGATACCTCATGATCACAATGTATGACTTCTAGGTTCTGATCCCCACGCCTGTCCACTCATCTGAATTCTTATGAAGATGAACAAATCAAAATCACTTTAAATTTGATCCCTTGTGGAGAAAGAAATCTTCTGATTCGGTCTTACACTTCAGGAATCCGTCAAGGAACTCAACTTAAGTTGTAAATTTAAACAGGTTTTGTGTCATTTGTGCTTGCATCTTTTTCCTCGTTAAAGCACTTACCAGTACAGCTTGAGTAACTTGGGGGAAGGGGGGAGGCACAAGATCAAATGATTATGTAGTCCAAAGAGTCAGTAGTAATTTTCCACTCTGACGCCAGAAGATCCGTCCTCAAGGCCATAAGACACGGATTGGTCAGTCAGTCATTCACTCGCAAAAAGAGACACTATGACATTGCATTTGCCTAACACATTAAACACCTTTGCTACTGACAACAGTCATCACAATGCTGTAGGTCTGAACGTTAACAGTGTAGAGTGGCATTACAAGGAACGCATGTAATCCTCCGTCTCTTTGTCGCACGTCTCAACTTGCTTGGAATCGGCATAAGTGTCATAAAAGACTACCATGATTTTCAAGTTGTCATCCGCGCTAGGTGGAGGAGGGTTGCTTTTCTATAAACCGGTATCGTTTTCAAGATAGTTTGAGTTAAATTTTGATATGCAGTAGAGAGAAGTACACAAGACTTACAAGGTTAACAGGCCTGGTAACCTCACAATTTTCGCTGATCAAAGCCCCATAGTAATTTCTGACCATTGAGGCTGAGGAGCTGACAGAAGAAATCATGTGTTCATATGGACCTCGAATAATCAAAATGAGCTCGGGTCATTGGGCACTCACTCCTGGAACATGGCCGGTTGTCCGTCCAATGTTTCGACGTACATCTGTGTGAAATGAGTCAATCATACAGTCAATTCAATACGTTCTAGCTTCTCAGTTGGCTCATTAGACGTCATACTCACACCCAGGTTTGAGAAGTAAACACATGAGGCTGGGCGCGAGATCAGAGCGGTGATCATTCTAATCAAGTTGCCAGGAATAAAGCTTGGTCAGTTAATAGGATTGGAGAAGCGAGGAGAATCTGTTGCAAAACCAGAAGGAGAGAATTTGACTAACTTTCCAAATTCTTTTAGATCGAAATTGAATGGCTTCCCTGCTCGACCAGGACAGACTGCCGGGTTACTTGGGGCTGTCGAGCGCTTGGAAAGTTCCTTTGGGTGTATCGATTCCAGACCACTCGAGCCACGTCCTTCTAAGTGACGATTGGATTCAGGATAACCCATTACAAATAAGACTTGTAATAGGAATCCAAGAATGATAGACCACTTCATAATGACGAGACAATACGCTTGCGCAAATTAGGAAATTATTCGAGGTTGAATATGTTGCAAACTTTAAAGTAAAAAGGATTGGAAAGATGTGAGGTTCAATTTTTGAGCCGAACACCGCGGAACCCTGTATTGCTCCACTAGTAGTCGAATTGAAGGGGACAAGGAGAACGACTACTACAGTCTAACCCGCGCTAATGCATAATTTGGGGAGACTCACTTTCCTATGCAATTAGACGGGTTATGCTTTTTGACCTACACCCCCAAAATGCATAAAAATATGCATTTAGATTTTGGGGTGTATTGCATAGAATTATGCATTAGTACGGTTATTGTATTACCCCACCCATATGGGACAAGAGAGGGTGAAGGTGGGAAAACTTCAGTAAGAAAGTGTTTAATTTTGAGGACATTTGTTGTCTATTTAGTACGATATGTACAGAAAGAAACAAAAACAATTGTTTTCAAGAACATGCTTTATCAAGTACAATGTGTTACAAAAAACAGTCAACAAACAATAACTTTTGAGGACTTGTGCTTATTTGGTACGACATGTACAAAAAGAAAGAAATTGAAGTATTTTTGAAGGCTATCGATAATCAAGTGTTAGATATAGTCACACGTTGGAAGAAATCAGTTATTGCCACTTGTTTTTTGTTACCAAAAAACAGCTCGGACTCAAGCATCTCGGCATACTTCTGCAAAGAGTTGTCCAATTTGAGACCAGAAGCTGTACCAGTGCCCTCTATGTGAGCTAATTCCTTGTTTTCAGTAGCAGACATGATGAAAAAAGATGCAAATTGATCTAAGGGAGCCGAAGATCGTGTGAGGTGGGTGATATCACTTTGCTGATCATTCCAAAGCACAACTGCTGTTGCTTTTTGTCAGTATCACCACCACATCACTGGGTTTGACCTATGCAATACCGCTTCCAAGATATAATTTTTTTTGCTTTGACCCTATGCATCATGCAATATGCAATTAAAATCTTGTTTTGGCCCGCACCAGCGTGGTGGAGACCAAAACCTATGCATTTTGGCTGGATATGCATATGCGCGGGTATACAACAGCGCGGGTTAGACTGTAGTGGAGTTCCCCTGTTAACAGCCGCGCTCAGAGACGACTTGTTAAACCCGACCTCAAACAAGTCCTCCGGAGAAATTTTTTTGAAATTCACCACCACAACTTAGCCAAATCCTGCTTAAGACCCCCTACAGGTCAGCACCGCATGTAACATCGGGTTTGTACCCGATAACTGCTCATACGGGCCTGTCACCAATCGGCCTAGCTTCGGCCTTGTTCTTGCTCAGCAAACTTCTCAGCAAACTTCGCTCACACTTTCACAAAATCTCAATAAATTTCTCACATCTCATCATCAAATCATCAAGTTCAAAGAATGTATGTATAAATTGTGTTGTTGAAATGTATCTATCTAAAATGAAGTCTGTCGAAACAAAAGAAAATGTATTTGGGGGAACACGCCGCCAAGGAAAGGACATCTTATAGTTCTTAAAGAGTATCTTGAGGTTCAACAAAGAACAGCCAATTTACATAAGGGGTTTCTTTATCAAGCCAACCTCTACAGATTCTGATGGTCTACTTTGGAGTCAGACAGGCAAAAACAGATAGCAGAGTTGCACGACTTTATGTGTCGATCAAAAGTGTGGATGGAAACTTCTCAGCGTTATGTACAAGTTACAATGAAATAAGCTGTTGATCTGATTGTTTTTGTGCTGCAAAAGCAAAAATGATCTGAATGAGTTTTGAATCCAAATCGAAGATAAACAAAAACTTCGTTATGAGAAAGTGACGACCACACGGCATCTCACTTTGTCTGAAATGTGAATGGTTCTGATGAATTGCTCCTTTGATTTGTTTTTAGATCGGTTACGGATTGCATCACCGGTGGATTACATACGACTAATTTCAAGTTCAAAACAAACACATCTTTGGAAACAACGATTTGAGTTACTAGTTTGAACAAAAAGAATTGTAACATAGATTGCTAAACTGATGTGAGACAAGAATGGACAGGGGAAGCTCAATTAGATGATGTTCGATTCATTTGTGTTATCATTAACATCCCCAAGCCGCTCTTCATCCTCCTCTTCGAGAACGGCATCCCGTTTTCGCTTGTTATTCTTGCCGAACTTGTACTTGAATACAAAGCCTGGAATTGGGGTGAGCAATACCGGGTGAGTGACAAGATCTTTATTGACCAGTCGAGCTTTCTCTTCAGTGACGGCGGAATTTGGATTAGTAATCCAAATCTTGTACACAGGATCGGATGGTTCGTATTGCAACTTGAGACCTTGTTCGGCAAGGCGAGCTTCGCAATTTGACCAAGTCCAGATATCTTGAGGCTTGTTTGAAGCTTTTGTAGCTTCTCCTGAAAACAAAAGTCGTGTCAGCAACTGCACAGGCAGTAATAAAACCATGTACTTACGAATGATCTGGTTCAAGTTGGCCTTCAACTTCTCTAATTCAACCCTTGGGCCATCTGAAATAATTTGAAAATTTGACATTAATTGTGATTGAGCAGAAGATTGAGTAACAAGCACTTACTTGCTTGCTTAGGACGCGCAAGGCCTGCAACTGTCTTACCGGTCAAAAAAGCTTGCATCCTTGAAGTAGTGCTTTCACGAGTTGGAGACGAATGAATGTCATAATCCACCCAATCCCATAAGCCAGGTGTGGTCGACATATATTGAAAGCAGTGCTTAGAAAGGTGGGTTGAGACAGCTGTGATAGTGAATTGAGCCGGATGAATTTGAGACATATTGTTTGCCTAAGAGCCACGCAGTTGACCGTTAGTTGATCAGTGTCACACAAAAAGGTGAAAAGAATGAATAGGAATATGTACTTACCTTCTGGATAAAGCTAGCCACAAACTCATCGCATTTGATTTTGGAATGCGCCAGGTCATGGCTTTTGGTGCGGAAGCCATTCTTGCGGGTCTCCTCATTGTTCGATCCTCGGATAATCTTAAGTAAGCCTTTGTGAGTTGGACGATTGTCGGGTATTTCATCTGGATTAACCCCATCGATGTTGTCGATGTTGTCGATGTTGTCGATATTGTCAATATTGACCTCTGCTTCAATATCACCAATATCACATGCCTCGCCAGCTTTGCGAAACTGATCTTGCTCTTCTTTTGTGTAACTTGCCCATAGTTGACGTACTAGTTCCCTCGAGACAGGATTAAGAGGACCTCCATCTGTCCATAACAAGAACTTGGCTTTCAGTCCGAAGTCAGTATTAAGATTGTGAATTGAGCTGTACTCACTTTGTCGATAGATATCTGAGACTGCCTTAGATTTTATGAAATAGTCATAGTTTCTTGAAGCCCTAAAGGATGCACATTTTCCACTTCAAGAAAGAAAGATAGACGTCAGAAGTTTAATCTAACAGACTTAATAGTAGGATGAAGAGCACCTCACATCTCGTTTGAGGCCACGTCTTGTGATATTCCAAGGTGGATGCACAAGATGGCAAGGAGCTTCTCGGTCGAGTTGTGAAAATCCCTTAGAATTTGTCTCTTCTGTAATGATGGAGCCCCATGACCTCGACCGCGAGTATGCTGGTCAGCAAGCGTCCTAAGCTGCGAGGCATCCAACGCATACAATTCAGTTACAGTAAGTTCAGCTGGAAGAGAGATATTATCGGGTAGACGTTGGGCTGGTGTTAGAAACTCATCCAAGAGCGCTTTGTTGCTTTTAGCAACTTCGTCTTCACGGTTAGCATCTTTGTTAGCTTTGTTTTGTGATGAACTCTTTGATCGAGATGCAGATTTCTTTGTTTGTGAAGATTTCTTTCCTGCTGGCTGGGACACGGTAGAGAGTCCTCTCGAATTGGATGTTGTTGAATTTCTCAAACCCAAAGGTTGAGATTCCAAGTGCGGAAGTAGGGAAGAGTCTATATGAATTGGTGCTGATGCCCGTTGAGGTTCCGGAACCGAGATTTGATGATTTTTGTAGATGTTTAAAGTTGAATCAAATTGATTTGGTAGGCTTTGACCTAGTTGAAGGTGAGTATGTTGATTTATACTTGCGTTTGGTAAGCTGTGAGTTTGTTGAAGCTGATTGTTTTGATTGTGTTGATTTAGACTTGGCCGATTATCGATCATTGGAGGTTGTGGAACTTGATGATCTTGAAAGAAATCATTAATTCCACGCTGAGCCTCTTGAACACGATTGATTTGATTGATATCAGCTTGAGTAGTAGGTCTTTGAAAAGGTCTATGAAATAAATCTTCATAGCTTTGTTCTGAATACCGCTGATGTTCAAGAGGGGCTTTTTGTTGTAAGGCTGCCATAAGTGATTGCTGGTCTATAATCTGACCTTGCCTTGAGTCTTCCATCTGTAAATCAAATCCGGTGAAATCCTGATGTGTTTCTTGATTACCGGCACGTAGGATTGATAATAAAGTTGGTGAGGCTTGTTGTATGCTGTTGTATGTGGTGGTGGTGGGGTGCATTACTCCAGTTTTTTAGAGCTTGGGGCGCGTCTTGTAATTCAATTGGCGCCATTCTGAGTTTTATCTCAAATTCCAATTCAATTGGCGCAATTCAGACTTTTATCTCAAATTTCGATTAAAATACACGATATTGAAGAAGTTATAATGTGTGCTATACGCACACCTTTGGCCACTAATACGGGAAAAACCTTGTGCTTGGCCTTCTGTTCTGAAATATGTAAGTGAATATGATACTATGTTATCATACTATGTGATAAATATTGATTCAGTTGACATATTTCAGGTAAGAAATCATTCATCAATTTGAATGAATATTGACTATAAGACAAAGTGAGAATGTCCTCTGCTTTTACCACGTGAACTGTAGAAGTCCCGCAAGTCTTTGAGAGCCCCAACTATGTGGGGTTTAAAGACACAATAAAGGATTACCAGATCTAAAAAGAAACAATCACTCATTCAATTATTGGTATGTTGATCTGATTTGAAATTTGATGAGATGATCATAGCATTGAGTGTGGCCAGCATCTTGTTGTGCTATTAAAGACATGCCAATGTTGATTAACAGTTATTTGATAATTTAAATTGATAATGGTATTAAAGAGTTATTCAGTGGCTGTAGCTTTGAATGATGTAACTCATGCAGCTATTCAACATTGGCTACAAGTTTGAGTCTTGATGGCAAATCAACATGAGATATAAAGAGGCCACGTATTATATATGTGTTGTGGATGTGATGTGGTGGTAGATTCAGAAGGACTTGATATATGCGGATATATTTCTCTCATTAACTTCAATTGTACAAAACAATTGGAGTGGTTATTAAGAATTGTATCCTTGTGAGACAGCATGAGCACCCCGCACCCCGCACGCCGGGTACGAGAGGTGTGTAGGGGGTTATACCTTTGTGCACACATGTCATAAGGTAAATGTTAAGATGCAGTATTACAGTTTTGATAGTAGCAGAGAGAATGAGCCAATTTTTAAGTTATTTGACCCAACAATGAAAAAGTTATTGGACTTTGAATTATATGCATAGTATGAGCAAAAAATCCTGGACAGAGCAGACCAATATGGTTATGGACAGCGCCACACATGTGATAAGCTCTATATGGTAGTATTTTTAGAGAACACACATATTAGCTGACAAAATGGTCCAACTTTTAACTGTTTTGGACAAAAATTGACCAAGTTATTAAAGATCTTGTCCGTGGGGGTCAGAATGAGGAAAATGTGCTGAAAATGAGATAAAAATGCACATGTATCTTTTTTCACAATTTTCATAGAGCTGTTATGATAACATATTCTGAAAGGCCTAGAGTAAGTGGAAAAAATGAGCCATACAAGAAGGTATTTGGACAAAAACTGAAGAAGTTATTAAAAATTCACTCCATTTTACTCAAAATGTGCACATGTTGTGTGACTAGCAACATCACTCCTTGTGTTACGCACTTGAGCAAGATGGAGTGAAATTTTTATAACTTTTTCAGTTTCTGTCCAAATTGCTTAAAAAGTGGCTCATTTTTTCCGCTCATCCTAGGGCTTTCTGAATATATTATCAAATCAGCTCTACGCCATGCTCAACAAAAGTTATAACTACATATGTCTCCACCAATTTGCACATTTTCCCTATTCTGACCCCTATGGATCAGATCTTCAATATCTTTGTCGCTTTTTGTCCAAAGTGCTTAAAAGCTACACCATTTTGTCCGCTAATATGTGGGCTTTTTGAAAATACTACCATGTTTACCTTATGGTGTGTGTGGCCTCCTCCTTAACCATGGATCTGTTTCCTTGTCCACCACAATTCCTTCATACTACACATATAATTCACTTCTCAATAAGTTTGTCTTTTGTGGTTGAAATAGCTTAAAAAGTGGCTCATTCTCTTCACTTCTATAAGGACTTTTATAATATATAATTATAATAATTATATGATATGTGTGGTAGAAGATATAACCCTACACACCCTTCCCGCCAAGCGCAATGGGGTGCTCTGAATGGAATTTGAACATATCAATCAATGAAATACTTGAATCAAGTTTATACCATAATTTAATAAACCTTAGAGTCTCATTGAATATGTTTTCAATATTGGTACTTCTAAATCCAGGACTTAGGGTTGTAGTACCTACATATGGGCTTCAGCATGCACCCAGATCAGCTGTATCCATCTTGAAAATGGATGTGAGACCTCGGCTGCAGAGCTATCAGCTAAGCTACAGTCATATTGAGCTTTGTTTCAAGACCTGATAGCTTAACAACTTGGCAGTGCCTGATAATGTTCAAGTAGGTATATTTGGCTCACTTTGATTTTCACATACGATAAAGGCAAAGATGTTACATGATATCTCCTACAATCCAATTACACTTTCTCAACAACTCGAATTTCACATGTATAGTTTAACATTCAGGTAACAGACAAATCAGAAAAAACATTGAGCGCCTCATAAACATCCTCCTCTTCCAAATGAATTTCTCCATTGCTTTCATCTAAGTCATCATGAATATTTATAACTACCTCTGGTCCTAGCTCATCCGGTAGTACATCATCAGCATCTTGAATCTCCATCTGATTAGCATCATTGTTCAAATTACTGATAATACCTGGGTTCAATTCGATCGCACGATTTGAATACATATGTTTTATTTTCCGAACCTGATCACACCAAATGATTTTGAGATCACCATCGCCATCTTGAGGTGGTGTGCTTTGAAACACCTCGATCAGATTTGAATTCCACAGCACTTGCAAATTTAAAACGTGTACAAGCTTCTCATTGATGATCACTTGTGCCGCTGAAATCTTACCTGGTCCACTGAGTGAACTTAGAGCTGGATGTTGGACCAAGCAAAGGTCCATTCGAAGTTCCACCTCATTATTCTGTGATTGAAGTTGAAACAAATAACTATAGAGAGAGTTGTGCAAGTCTATTGCCCACCTCATTACTCTCCTGACTTCCCATCCGATTCGGCGAATTTCTTCACTAGCCCGATCAAAGTAGGCAATTTGTTGCATCCCATACTGTGTGTCACCATCGATTGCCCAAGGTTCCCGTCTGTTGGTGAACAAGCCATCGTTCCAGAATGTGTGATCAAAGTCGATTTTTAACAATTCAGGGTAGGTGATGTTTTCTGGTTGAGATCGATGTGGAGATGTGATTGAATATGTACTTAACATCTTCTGATAATTTTCTAGTTTTGTTTTCAATTTAGCTGCCTGATCGCGAAGTGTCTTGAGTAGAGGTGTCTTGTCGTTGTAGCCTGTAGATAGATGAAGGAATATTGATCTTTAAAAAGAGATTTCCGAGGTATTTGAGGCCAAGAAATCACTCACCGATACTTGAATTTCTCCCATCGCGTCGGCTTATATCCAATGGACGTTTCTGTTCGCAAATTGCCAGAAACTGATCACGGACCTCTTGTTTAGTGAACCAGATCTTCAAGATCTGGTCTTGTTCGTGAGCTAAAGATATACTATCCAAGGTCAATGATAATTTGGTTGAGTGAGTGAGATTCAAAAAAACATACCTTCCAGATTGTTGAGAATCACTTCGGAACCAATCTTTGCACACTGTTTTTCAATTTTCTTTTTGTAAGTATTATGTTCTCGTAACCTAAGAATCGCTTCTTCAGCATCTTCCGCATCTTGATCCCTTGAGAAATTGTTCTCATTAGTTTTATGTTGTTTATAGTACCAGATGAGCTTTAATTGAACTTACCACACATTCTGAGCCATCTCCTCGTAATATAATAATCGGCCTAGTTCCAATTTTTGTTCTTCTTTTATATGGCACCTCTTCTGTTGAGAATTGCGCTCAACAAGCCACTGTTGACGCAGAAAATCGTGGGTGTATCGGATTGTAGGAAAAAGGGAACTTCGTCTGCTCAATAAGTTGGTAAGAGCTGTTCTAGCTTGACAAGATACTGTTTGAGCATTCCGTAGCCTGCGTAAGAGCCATTTGGCTATGGTGGATCAAATTGAAAGTAAGTTATTGATCAGCATTTGGGTTTTAACATATTCTTACATACCTGTTGACATACATGTGATCTCCACATAAAAACAGGTCCTCCAGTTGATGTTGAGTAGTCGATGAAGACGGGTTGAGATACGGTTGATAGCCACGAGTGCGGACAAGAAAGACCAGAACCTTTCAAGTCCTTCACCATCAGATAATCCCCAAAAGTTGTTGAATCGGGGATTGTACATCACTTGACAGGCCCAGTTGTGCACATAGGCATGAAATACAGATGTGCCAAAACTAAGTCTTTGGCAGAGATTCTCAAGAAAACCTCTCTGAATGTACAAACCTATCAGCGATCTATGTAAAAATCGATAGAATAGCCAAACTTACCTTTTTGATGTGTGCTTCCAATTGACACCCAATATCATACAAAACTCCAACCTGGATTTCGGGCAAATCCGTCAATAAATTCTCCAGGATGCTTAACGGGTAGTACAGCCTATTTGAAGCAAAAGATTAGATGAATATCAACCCAACTGACAAACAATTGAGCGAAGTAACTCACTTTTCGCCAGTTCGGTAGATGTTGGCTAATTTGAGGGGTACATCATGTCGACATGTACATCCAAAGAGGCCCGTATCATCGCTTCTCTTCCACGAGGTAGAGTTTCGAACATCGTTTGCTGCAGTGTGCGAGTCAGCACACGCACTCTGAATGTGCGTCAAATTAGTAATTAATAAATTGGTATAATTTGATGAAATTGATCGAAGACTCACCTTTATATCCTTGACTTGAGTTTCAGTCAAATTCTGTATAATTTCATTCTTCTTCATACACGAGGGCTTAATAAAAATATCAGGATACTCTTCTTCTGTTGGATTATCCTTGCTAGATCGGGTATAGTGACGATGTTGAAAATTACCGTCTAAGGCAATTATAACATCTGGCTCTTGAGGTGAGATCTTTGTTTCATTGATGGCTGGACCAAAACAACGTGCACATTGGTCCGCCAAAAGCTGAGCGTTGGAAAGCTTCAGGCCTTCCTTATAAATCCGTTTAGTGCAGAGAATTATAGCTTGATGCATATCAACTGATTGTGTAAATTGCTTTCTCAGATCTCGATCGTGAATAAGAGACTCGTATTTGGTGTTTTTGGGTTTCATATTGGTATTGCTTCTATCGCTTCGTGATTTGAGAAATCTAAATAATGCATTGACAAATCCTGTGCTGGCTACAACAGTCTCGTTCCACAGGTGATGATGAAATTGTAAGAGTGGGATTGAGAATGCTGTCTTTGGAAATTGAGGTGAGCTCGCGATATACCCGTAGTGTAGGAGCCGTACTGGTCTAGGCATACATGAACAGAATATGATTTTGGCTTGAAAATGAACTTTTGATTGAGCATAGAGGTCAACCGTTTGTTTGACAAGTTTGGTATTGGTACATTGACAAATGATATTGATATCGAGGTAAGAGGCTTGAGAAGTCCAGTTCTTTGTACAATGCTGACATTCAAGGTAGGTTGCGGTCATATCTGATTCTATGGCGGCCCATTTGAGTTTTTCAAGTCGCCGTTCCTCCGCATTCCAGTACTCACGGCTTTCTTGAGCGAATTTTGTACCAAGAATAGGAATCGAAGGAGGATTGGCTTCAGGTTCGTCACGATGAGGTATAAATTCGGCTGCTGCTGGATCATTGAACAAATCAAAATCATCGTAATGGTGCTGTGGAATTGGCTGGTCATTCGTACCACTTTGGCCAATGCCAAGTGCGTCGGAAATTGATTTAGGAATTACAGGAGGTTTTCGGGGTGGGGTATCTCCTTGTCTTTTGCGTGAGGGTCTTGTCCCAATTCCGGCGAGAACATTAGAGTCACGCTTCGCCTTGCGTGATCGTACCATGGATGGTTGGTTGTAGTGTGGTTAATGCGATGAAGGGATGTGTGGTGAGATGGATGGCAATCGAGGAGGATAAAGGGCTTTGCAGCTCAGCTAGGCCGATTGGTGACAGGCCCATATGAGCAGTTATCGGGTACAAACCCGATGTTACATGCGGTGCTGACCTGTAGGGGGTCTTAAGCAGGATTTGGCTAAGTTGCGGTGGTGAATTTCAAAAATTTTCCCCCGGATGACTTGTTTGAGGTCGGGTTTAACAAGTCGTCTCTGAGCGCGGCTGTTAACACGGGAACTCCACTAGTAGTCGTTCTCCTTGTCCCCTTCAATTTGACTACTAGTGGAGCAATACAGGGTTCCGCGGTGGAGCCGAAAGGTGTTGAGTTCGAAGGAAGGAAGGTGGACCAAAAGAGACATCAGGTTTTTAAAGTGTTTTCAAGATATATAAATAGCAATGCATGATGCATCCCACAAAATCTTTCAAGCCGAGGTCAACTTAAATATGTATACAAAGTCACACACTGACCCTCTGACACGACTATTGCTCACGCGTTCACGAGTCACCAATTCCAAATGTCAGTATAAATCGTACATATATATTTCCTCGTGCGACAACGACAGAAATGTGGTTGAGCTTTTGCTTTTTTTGTTTTTTCCTGCTTTTTCCTCTCGAGGGTCAGCTCGTACACTCCATAACGTGAGAAATGCTCATTTTGCAGGGAGAAATTCTGTAAGCTCTCTGCATGTTGCCCTACCAAAGGTATTTTGGTCTGGACCCAAGAGAAAAGGTGTTTGCACAGGGATACAAAGTTAAAACTGAGAGTTTTTTCCCAGTTTCCCAGTTTCTCAAATACAGCCAAAAACGCAAACTGGGAAACTGGGAGAACGTGGGAAAGTTCCAAACACAGCCAAAAACAAAAACTGGGAAACTGGGGAAAAAATCGGATTTTACTACAGTCAATTTCACAAAGCTTGGAAAGAATTCCGCGCCAATTTGCCCAAGTTTGGCGGGCAAAAGTTTCCAAGCTTTCTGAAATCGACTGTAAAAGCAGCCCCCCCTCTGAAGGGTTGACCGCCCCCTTTTAGTCGGGGAAGACGTTTACAATACAAAAGCGTGTGAATATGTGTGAATTCAAAACAACACATAGGGGGCGGTCTTGAATTCAGGTGAAATGGAAACTGGATGAGATGCTACAGAATGCTATTGATACTATCTTGCTTCCAGTCTCTGGCATGGCAGAGGCAACACCTGATAACGCATGTTCTTCTGATCGACTTTCTCTATATGATGATGACGATGAAGCAATGAAATATCCAATTGTGTTTCATCATCACTTATCAACCATGATACATTTTGGTCTGAATGTGAGGTGTAACATATAACCTTGATCTAATGAAGGATCTTATCATTATCAATCAAATCTTTGCTTCGGTTATTACCAATCGATTTTCTTTACGTGCGCATGTGTTCAATCATCACAAGAAAGAACAAGGAAGAAGTAGAAATATTTATCAATCACTGCGAAAGGGGGGCAAGAGGAAATTTGTGATTGTAAACAACGCCAGGGAAGGAGATTTTTGAATCACCAAGCACCAAGTCCAACAACAGATCTTGAGCCATGAAAGCAGGAGGAGGTGATAACGATGCTTTTAACGATTGGCTTCCATTTCACCTGAATTCAAGACCGCCCCCTTGATGTTCAGTTTTGCATTCACACGGATCAATAACTGACAGCCGTTTTTATATTGTATTCTTCTTCCCCGACTAAAAGGGGGCGGTCAAGCCTTTGAAGGGGGGGCTGCTTTTAGTAAAATCCAAAAAATCCCAGTTTTAACTTTGTATCTAAAATATAAATACGTGGAATCAACTCGCATGAAGTACCGTTCTCTTTGGTCCGGCTCTTTTTTTAATGCTTTTATATGTTTTATGGTTACCACTTTCACTTCACTTCGCTCCGCTTCTATTCTTTTCATGCTTTGATATATTTTCTTTTAATGGTCATAGTTTTATCCTTTTCTGTCAATTTTTGCATGTGTTTGTGAGTTCATTTTTCATGATCCTGCTGCCTTATTTGTTGTGTTGCTTTGAAACCTCGGCCTTTCATTTGCTATTGAACTGTGTCTCTTGATCCTACCTATTTATGGATGCTCTTATAGGTTTGCGTTGTGTCTTCGTTATGGATCATAGCAGTGCTTTCCCGTTCACCCTTTTGTTCTGTTGCTTTCCATTTTCAATCCCGAATTTTGCCCATTGTTGAATCTAATGTCGCCAATTCAATGAACAAGCTTTTCAGCCTACCACACAATTTGGTCTAACTGGCCTATATAAGAGCCTTCTACATGAACCTTTCTTCTACCTTCAGTCGCCCCACTCCTTCTCATTTTCCTCATCGACAACCAAATTGCCTATCTGACAACTTCATTATTGTGTTTTCGGCATCAACAACCAAACTGCCTATCTACAATCTTGTTTATTGTCTTTTCCCTACCTCTTCGTCTGACTTTCTCTTCTCTTTGCTTAATCTTCCCCGGCAATATTCTTGTTGCCCACCTTAACATCTGTTCAATTTTCTTCTCTCGACTTTAACCTCCTTACATCTACTTGTTGCATTGCCTTTATTTCTGGATCATTTCCCCCAGCAACTCTACCTCTTCCACCAAAGCCAAGGCTCGCACCCTGCATGTCTCCGGTCGAATGGACGTCTACAAAGTTGTACGTGTCTGTTTCATCTATCCATTGAAGCTAATGTTATACTTTGGTTACAGTTATCCACGAATAGCACTTCTACTTGTCCTCTACGTGATGCTCATGTCTTGATCGTTTGCAATTATTCAAATGTGTAACCACCAGATAATTTGTGGGCACTGCTACTGACTGCTTTTACTACTCCAATCATACTGTATTTAATGACTACAAAAAAAACGAGAGCTTGTTCAAAGTTGTGTAAATTCAATTGATAACATGCATTTCCCTGTCTGTGATAATAAAATATTGGACAAGCTTCTTGATCACCTCCAAGGGGTGCTGGCACTAAATCATTCAACTTCTGTGACTCGATGTTGTGACAATCACCCTGGGTGGGTTTATTTTCATGATTTGTGGAATTTTGAGGTTTGGTTGCTCAATTCACTGCATAATTAGATATTTCAAGTAAGTTGGCAATTGAACTGGTGCGGGCATGCCCGCATAGTCTCTAGTCCCCTAAATGTACACTAGTGGTCTTCAAAACTCGTGTTCAGTGTCCCAGAAGTGTCCAGAAGTGACATCCAGAACCTTCTGGGACACCCCCAGAATAAATTTGGGGTGTCACTTGTGGACACCTCTGGGGATATTTGAGAACACCTCGCACCCTCTGGAATCCAAAGACTCTACTCACCCCACCAAGATGCCGCGAGTCTCAGCACGACGGCAAGTACTCCCAGCTCTGAAAGGGGTATCACGCCACCTTCTAGCTTACCCCACCGACTATACACCTCCAGCAAATTGTTCCTCAAGAAGCTCATCTTTGTTATCAACCCTGCTCCTTCTGCCTTGTTTATTACCTGATAATCTTCGTCTTCAACCAATCCAGCGCTTGACTTTGTCTCTCTTACTTAAGAGTAGAAGTACTCAACCCCTCATGGACTTTGATTTGAAGAAGACTGAAGTGGAAGTTTGGTTGGCGGAACTGGAAAGCATTGAGAATTGACGATACCTGGCTTTGAGAACTCTCCGAGAACGTGATCATTCACAAGAACTCTTCGTCGCAATGATGCATGCTCCTGAGGTTACGTTCATAAAAGTGGCAAGCTATCTCATTTCTCAAGTTTGTTTTTTTGGTATTAGCTTCTAACTGTGTTCTTAATATCCTATTTGAGGATGTGATTAGGCGCAAATGAAAAAAGGTAGCTTCATCACGCTTTTGGGTTACATCGAAGATAGTCAAGTGTTCAAAAACACCTCAAGTAATCCTCAAGCACAGGTTGAGTTGCAACTTCTGGTTGCTCTAGCGAACTTGGGGTTGTCAGGAAATGGCGGACAAGTGGCCCTCATAGGCAACTTATTAGGTGTTTCAGGTGGGTGCTCATATATATTTCAAGTACATCATCTCGGCATTAACATCTTTCCGTTTCCACAACAGATGGAAGTGTAGAAAACTATACTTGGAGATGTGTAGCCGCTATCTTGAATTGCAACCACAATTCCTCTCCTGGCCATCCGAAAATGAGCAGAAACTTATTTCAAACAAGCTCTGTCAAAAACACCCTGTTCTGAAGGGTTGTGTGGGGTTTATAGAAGGAACACTTATCCCGTTAGCTTTTGGCCCGGTAAATTGCAAAGAGGATTACTGGAACCATAAGTACTTTTACGGAGTCAATTCAATGCTTGTGTGCAATCATCGGCATCGGATCACGTTTGCTCGCCACGGTTGGTGTGGAAGTGTCCATGACCAAAGAGTGCTCAGAACATCCTTGGTAAGTGTTCATTTAAATCATATCATCCTGTCATGGACTGATGATATGATTCATTAGATTTGGTGTCACCCTGGTGATTACTTCAATGAGGGTGAGTATCTGATTGCAGATTCCGGTTATAGTGCTTCGAAGTGCACTTTGCCTGTTTTCAAAAGAAATTCAGCCTGCAAACTTCCTGGACTCAAGAATGCCTTCAACAAAGTCCTCAGTGAGGCACAATCAGCCATTGAACATGTCAACGGAATGCTCAAGTCCAGATTCCAGATGCTGAAAGAATGTCGGCTTCTCTTGCGAGATAAACAATCTATGAAGCATTTAAATGCCCTGCTTATGACATGTTGTCTCCTTCATAACTTCTTATTGGATGAAAACGAACACAGCGCTTTCACATATGGTCTCCCAACCCCAGCCAAGCGAGAAGAGGAGCGTCAAAATGCAGAAGAGAACGTCGGGGTTGTTGATGAAGTCCTTGCAGATAACAATGAGTCATTAAGAAGACTGGTCTTTTGCAATTTTTGTAGCCTAATGGGACACGAATGATCAGTTGTCAGTAA